TATTGCCTTTACTGTTATACAGCCTTAGTTTGCATCTTGATTCTTTCATTTCTTAATCAATACGTTATTTTGCAATGTTTTTTTTATTAGAAATTACAGAATTTAGTTTAATTATTTATCTCTAGTTTCTTAAAAGTGTATATTGTGAGTGAAGTGAAGTTTGGAATGAATTTAGAAGTATCAACATTGAAATGTGTTAATGAATATAGATATGTAATAGTTGTGTTATGTATTTTTAAATGTATGCTAAACCATAATAGATGGAAGCACTAGCGGATCCAGGATTTAATTTTGGGGGGAGGGCTTCAGCCGGAAAGCTGTTTTTTTCATAAAAATAACGATAATTACTTTGGAAAAAAAGAAAGAAACTAACTATCTAAATGAAATGGTGTTTAAGTGATTCCTAAAGCCCTTTTAAATGTAATTACACAAACAATAATACTTTAAGAGATACTTTTTAAATATTTTTTTCGATAAAACATGGCTATATTTTACCATTTTGGGGAGAGTTTCAGCCTGTAAAGCCCCCCCCGTAGATCCGCCCGTGGATGGAAGTAAATAAATATATTTCTCTAAAGTGTATGGAGTGAGTGAAGTGGAGTTTTGAATACATCTAGTGACATCAACAGTGAACTTTATTTATAAATATTATGTATATGTTGTAATTTTGTTATGTATTTTCGTATATATATGGTAAAACATTATAGAAGAATACCAATAAATGTATTTCTGTGAAGAGTTGTTTTTAGTTTACCCCATTCTTCCTTTATAATCAACCTCTGATGCATATTTCTGTATGTATTATTAAATACCTATTTATATCATCTAAACGTATATCTAATTCAAAGTAAAACTGTTTGCTAATTTTTTTTCTTTCAAATGTTGAAGGTAAGTTTCCACAATTTTCTTTCTATTAAATTATTCATTCTTCGTTTTCTCATTAAATGTTGTTGTTTTACACTGACTTTCATTTAAAATCTTTTTTAAAAGTCGAAATCTTAACATTTAAAAAATATTTTTTGAATATTATCTTGTGTTGTTAATACTATAGAATATTTTGATTATAGTTGATTGATTGTGGTTTATATAATAGAACAAATTAGAATTTAAAAATTATTTTATTGCGAAATACAACTCTCAATACAAATTTTTGGGTTTTCATCAAGGATGAAATTAAATCAGAAATACAAAGGTATAAAATATAGACAGAAATAAATAAAAAAGATAATCAATACCAAGTGAATTAACAATAAAGGGATAAAATAATAGAGATACATGTTAATTTAATATAATTGCTTAATTTATCATTATTTACTTCTATTATTTTTCTTTTTGTATCAAAGGAAAGGAAGGTAGGAAAACAAATAGTGTGAAGTTAAAAATAAAAATGTTTTGGGTAAATTTGGGTTGTAATGTATAAAACATTTACACAAGTTTATTTATGATGTATTTTACAAACAACTTAAGATACATAAAACTAACCACTTATATTAAACTACATTTTTCTCATTTATAATATATATTCACTAAGTAAAGAATACAACAATATCAAGCGGATGTCTTTAATTTGATAAAAAGGGGTCTGTACCACAGACCATATCTTACATTATGATAAAATAATTTCAATTATTCATGAAACTATTTCATAGCCTTGAAAAATATAATGGAAATATGAATATATACACAAAATACATCTTTTAATAAAATTATTAAGAGAAGTAAATATAAGATTTGCTAATTTTAGGTTTTGGGGAACACAAACCCTTTACTTTTCAACTCTTATAGCAAACATCTTTAAATATTTTCCTGAAAAAGGATTTTCTTACTTATTCTCTTATTACTTTTCATTAACTATACATACTTATCACCTAACCATATAGATTCAAATTGATGTGATACTTATTAAAATATTCTTTATTTATTTTTTAATAATTACTGGTATTAAATAACATGAATAATTGAAATATCGTTAATTAAATTGTTACAATAATGATCTAATGATTACAAGAAATAAATGACAGGAATAATTATAATAATGAATACAAAAATTAAGAAGAAAAGTTCTTGTGCGCCCTTCAAATCATTGCCCTGATGTAGAATCACATATTTGTGTCGAAATGTAGCCAAACTCAATAAACATATATTCTGACTGCACATCCTGACTATTTTTCATCCTTATAATTTCAACAGTCACCTATACATCCATCTCTAAAATAATAATAACAATAGTTTCTATAATGATTACTAGAAATAAATCACAAGAATAATTACAATAATTAAATTGAAAAATTACAACTATACAACATGAAAAGTTCTAATGGCTCTCATTATATGAATTATTCTTTTGATTCTGTCTTCATTATCTTCAAGTTCTTTAGCCAAATCGGAAAGTACACAGTCTCATTCTGGTGTCGGAGATGTGTTGCTTGTTTCTCTGAGTGGTGGTTCCAGGCCTCTGGTTAAGAATACTTAGGTCAAGGCTGCATGTCCCCAATTTGGAGTCTTGAAAATATTAATTTTTGTGATGTGGATTGAAGAACTGAAGAAAATTTCCATGGGAGAATATCTTGTTTCATTTGTGATTTGTTTGTCAATGGTCTCATTCGTATTTATGCCATTTTTTTCCAAAGACATCTGTATTCAGCAGGGTAGTTTATCATTTCTATCTGCATTCTCTTTCTATACAAGAAAGTGGTAGAAATCAGCTAAATACCTAAAACAAAATAAATATAGATATGAGTTATTGTTTCATTATTATTAAATTGTTATATTAGATACGTTTTTAAAAATTATAAATTCTTTGTAAATAAATACATATAAATACTTTGTTATTGTATACAAAAGGCTTTCCTTAAATATATAGTTGTATAAAATAGCATTGAGCCCAATATAGGTTCAGTTAGGCTTATCTTAAATTAGGTTGAAAAACATTTTAATTTAAGTATTATTTTGTAAATAAATACATATAAATACTTTGTTGTATACAAAAGGCTTTTCTTAAATATATAGTTATATAAAATAGCATTGAGCCCAATATAGGTTCAGTTAGGCTTATCTTAAATTAGGTTGAAAAACATTTTAATTTAAGTATTATTTTGTAAATAATAAATATAATTATAACTGAAGATTGTCAATTCATCTATTATTATTTATTTGAGAAGGAGTTGGTCAGGGGAACGTCAAATTAAATACTACATATTATAACAGTATTTTACTCGATACAAATATTAGATATTATTTAATTTGACTGCACCCTTGACCAACTCCTTCTCAAATTATAATCATGGTCAACCATTTCCACACTATTAATATTTATGATTCAGGGTACCAATAATAAACAGTTTTCAACTCATTAACTGATAATAAGCTTTGCATACCAAAAATAGTGCAAATATGAGCAGGGGTGCCCATCCCTCCCAAGAAATGTTATTTCTCTCCTCTTCTTGAAAAATGTTCAAGCGGAAGTAGAATTAGAAAAATCATAGGTCATACACAATTAGACTTCCTGTGGTCTGGTCCATGTTCTTTCTCTTGTTCCTGGTTGTGAAAGTTTTCATGAAGAAGACCATGATAAGCTTTATATACGAGAGTGCAGATATGGGTAGGATTGTCAGTTGATTTCTTAATAATATAAGACTGAGGTTTGTTTCAAGGATTCCATATTACTATTTTTTATGAGATAAGTTTAGTTTTTTTATTTATTGATATGGGGTTTGTTATTTTTTAGTTTCACTCTGTGAAGAATCCATTTATTTTTTTAAATTATGTAAAAACCTATTTACCCCCCAACTTGAGTGTCCACTATTACTGGTACCAAACAGTTAAAATTCCTTTATGTTTTTCAAGAATAATTAAATAATTGACTGTATTTAAAAGAATATGATAAAAGAATTAATTTTCTGTCAATTAAACTCATTTGCAAAGATTCTCCTTAAAAAATAAAGCTGAGGTTAAAATTAATGTTGAAAATTTCTCTTAAAGTTCTTATTAATGGTATATTTACCTTAATTATTATTAGTTACATGAAATAAGTCTTATTATGTAACAGTGATACAGTCAACTTTCTTAGTGTTCTAGATCTCTCAGATGGATTGTATTCGTTGGATGATTAAGAAACATTTTATAAGCAGAAATATTGTAAATAACAAACAAGTATTTTTTTTCTTTGTAACATCAATAAATGTATAATTAATTGAATAAACATTTAAATTATGTATGGTTATTGTATTTTTTATGTAGTAAGTAGTTTTTATATATAACAGAAATGTGCATAATGTATTATTGAAGGAAGCTAGTCGACTGTTCTACATATCCTAGGTGATAAATATTCAAGACACAGTCTTTTGCATAATGTAGTGTATTATAAGTGGTTATTTTTATTTGTTTTAAGTGCAGTTTGTAATTTTGTAAAATATATAATAGACTTGTGTAAAACTTTTATACTTTGCAACCCAAATATAAAATAAAAAAATAAAAATTGAACTTCAGACTTTTTTATTTCATTCCTTTTTTTTTTTATACAAAAAGTAATATAATAAAAATAAATTAAGCAATACATAAAATAAAATGTATCTCTATTATTATTTATATCCCTGTCTCTTACTTTATTAAGTTTTTCTTTTTCTTATTTACTTCTGTCTTTATAATATGCACATATCTATATTTTTTGTATATCTGATTTAAATTCAGCATTGAAGACCCAGAAGTTTGCATTGTAACTTTAGCATTTGTAATTAAATAATAATAATTGAATCCCAATTATTTATTTCATGATATACATCAAAATACCCTATTACATTAACTATGAGTAGATGATAATTTTCAAATATTATTTTTAAAATTTTACGATTTTAAATGAAAGCCAACATTAAACTCAAAAGGTATACTTTGAATGAGAAAATCAAGAATGTATTATTACATACGAATATGAATAGTTTAATAGATAAAAAATTAATTATTTTCAACCTTTGAAAATAATTTAAGCAAATTGTTATAATTTGAATCAGATATACATTCAAATAATATAAACCTGAAGTTAATAGAACATACAGACATGCTTAATTATATAGAATTGGATAAACTAAAAAGAACCTGTCACAGAAACACATCTATTTGTTTACTTATATTACAGTTTACCGTATATTTAATAATACATAACTATTAAATATCCATAATATTTATGAACACTGTCGATACCTCTTGATGTCTTCAAAACTTCATTTGACTCACTATGAAAACTTTAGATAAATATTTAAATTAATTATGTAATTTCTAATGAAAAGGACATTACAAAATAATTTATTATTTAAATCATTAGAAGACAGAAACTAACTTAAAGCTATATAACATCCAACTGTATACTTCAAGATGAAAACAAATAACAGGATTTATTGGATAAAATTTTAATTTATTAACACATTATGGAAGACTATGCTGCCCTGTCATATTAAGAATTAAATAAATAAACATTTAAAAAATACTACAATGCAGAAATTACAATTTTAGTAATCATTTAGAATTTAAAACAAAGTTGGAATAATAGTTCCAATAATAGTTCAGTTATCTGTAACTGATTGAAGGTAGTTGCACTATGGTATTAAAATCTAAAAAAAAAAAAGTGTAGCACTATCTAATATATATAAAAAAGGCACTAATATTTCCAAAATTCACTAAAAGAGATCAGCACTATCGAAGGTACAGAAAACTCGCACTGAAATTTGGAACAGGAAGTGCGAGCATAGTAATTTTGTAATTGAAAAATAACAAGTATATCCCACATTAATTTCCTTTTTTTAACTTATTACAAGACTTTTTTTTATAATTTTTTTTTTTTTTTTTTGTGATTTCCTGGATACTTCAAGATTATTAATTCAAAAATATAAAAAAAGAGTCTTTAATTTAATGTTTTATTAAACAATTATAAATAAATAAAATTAACAAATAATAACAAAAACTTTTTTATATTTATACATTAAATATATACAAATGTTATTTACAATTCATATTCATACAAGTATAAATTTTGATACACAATTATTTTTTTTCTTGATTTTCAAAAGAATCGTAATAACCGTAAAGATGAAGTATAAACAGAGTTTCATCTAAATTGAGTTCCGAAAACCGCAGCTTTTGGATCATTCCCTCCACTGAATCCAATAATGATTTCTCAGGCGGAGACATAAGTTCATCCATCTAAAAAAATTATTTAAATTATATCATCGAACAAAAGTTAATCCATATAAATTTTTTTTTTGGATTGACACCACCAAACATAAATGACTTAATGAACTTTTTTTTTAATATATAGTGATATATTATCAAAATTGAACAAACTTACAACTTGCTTTATGTAAGTTTCATCGTTTCCCTGATCACGCAAACTCTGAGTCAGTGAAGTTAGCTTCTCGAATTTCTCAATCAATCTCATATTTTCATTTTTTTCATAAGTTGCTCGTGATAATGTATTGGAAACAGTTATAAAGCACATATCCAAAACAACTTGACAAACCTATATAAAAAAAACAGAAAATTATAAATAGATTGGATATAAAAATTAAATATTCCAATGTGCAGTTAAAGAATACTTCTTTTATAAAATAAGAAGAAAACAAAAAATTGTAGTCAGACTGTGTCGCAGGTGATTTGAGACTCCTTGTATATCAAAACATATATTTCTGTTTTTTTCTCTCACTCTTCCATTTAATGATTAAAAAAAAATTAGTTAAAAATTTATTTTATTAGCTTTTATAAATTATAACAGAGAGAGGTACAAGAGTAACATCTTTGGCAACCAGACATATCATGCTACATTGGTTTATTAAATAACGGTTGTTAATTGTTACAAATAATGAATTTTCAATTAAACAGGGAATAAATCACAACAAATACATTGACTTTTGACAGAATAATTTTCAATGGGTTTAAAAATAAAACTCTTTTTGTGCGTTTCAAAGGAGGAGGATTTAAAATCATATCACAATTTTTATAAAATTCAATTTAAAAAAAATAATAAATTAGAGAAGTTAAGTTTTAAAAAAAAAATTGTCTCACTAACCTGATTAAATTTAATATGAAATAAATAGAAATTTTTCACTGGTCCTCCTGACGTGGCAGCTTTTTTCAATTCATGCAATTGAAGAAAACTTTCTTGAAGAAGGCGATAAGTAAGTTGCTTAGCTTCTTTATCAGGAATCAACACAATCTTTTGAAGCTGCTCCTGATCAATATAAATTTTACTCCTCACGAGCCTAAAAATAAATAAATAAATAAATATCAGGACCATTCTATAAAATGTGAACTTTTCTTCTCTTAAGTATTAAAAAATAAGTAATATTGAAAAAAAGAAAAAAAAAAGAAACAGAGCTTGGCCTAGTTTAGTGTGACCCAGTTATACTAGCAAAATATCTGTGATACATCTTGATAAAAATTCAAGGGTAAATTAGTAATACATCTGCCATTCTCTCAAATCTCATGGTCGAAATCAACAAATGAGTCTCGATCTTTTGAGAATGAATTTGAATTTCAGTGCCATTTAGATCTTTTGAATAACTTTTGACATCCAAAACCAGTATAATATTTCAAATTACCATACCATGGAAATACCATAAATTATGGTTATGGTCTAAAAGTAAATATTACAAATAATAAATTTTCTATTAATACTTGAAAAATATATAACAAATATATATATATTTTTTTTTCATAAAAATTATTTAGAAAGAGCCCTGTAGTCATGAAGTGTTTTTCAAAATCTAAAAACTGGAACCTTAACTTTTTTATGCTGGGCCCTAAAATTTCTAAAGGTGAGTTTTAGATATTTCACAAACTATGGGAACAACAAATATATAAATGGTTGTTTCTCTATGCTAGTATTTTGATATTTCCCACCTGCTGTCGGTGACTAGAGAAATTTAAAAATATTAATGTGTGAGCTTTAGACAACACGATAAAGTGAAAACATCAACAAGACAAGATTAATAAAATGAAATATAAATTATAAATCTCATTACAGAGAGGATGAAATACTGAACAATTCTCTCGCTTACAGTATGCAGGTCTGATTTTAAGCTTTTGACACTATTTTTTCCTTTTCGTCTCTCTAACACGGCGTCGTGTTAAGATACAATTTTGAATAATAGCTCATTCTCGAGAGGATGAAATGCTGAACAATTCCATCAATTACAGTATGCAGGTCTGATTTTTAATTTTTAAGATATTTTAATCCATATGCAAAAAAATTTTCAATTAGTTGACTCCAGCTGACATTACCTGAGTGTTACATATCCGAAATCTGAAGGCTCAATCTAATTCACTCGCCACACGAAAAACGAGCCTAAAGAAGTTTTCACTTAAAAAAAGTTTGGCTTAGCAATAATTTCGCTATTAGTTAAGTTAGGTGATTGTGTTTCCCATCGTTTGTGTCTAAACACACCTTAACAGTTACATTATAGATTAGATAATAAGATTAAATAAATCTGTAGAATTTAAAAACTGAACTTACCTGAAAATTCTTGCTGCTTTAAGTCCAAACCTATGCTCAACGATACTATCAATAGTCGATGAAGCCAAACTTCTGAAGGCAGAAACAAAATTAACATACACTGAGCCACTTGAACCCTCTGATATTCTTTTAATAAACTGGCAAGAATCATCTTCTAAAATTTAAAAAAGAAAATTAACCTTAAAAACCCTGTACCACAACAACAAATTGGAAAGCAAATGGATTTTTTTAAGTACCTCATTAAATAGACAAAGTTTTACCAATCTCGAGATTGAAAAAGTCAAAAATGAAAAAAATTCTGAGAATTTTTGTAATTAAAAAAGTTATAGATTATGATAAGATGGAGCCATTCATGAAGTTTCACAGATGCAAACCATTTGATAAAAAGTCGTCTATACCATGGATCATAAAACAGTTTTCAAACAAATATACAAAACTTGATTGACAATTTTTTTCTGTGTTTCCAAATTAAAATTTAAAAAAAGGCTTAGTATGATGAAATAGACCTTGTGATAGGTATATGAGAAAATGAATGCTGTTAGCGATATCGTAAACATGGAAAATACCTATAACTTTGATGTATTGTTCCAAATATTGAATCAAGTATGGATTACATTTTTCTTTCTCAAGCGCGTCTCTGATCTCAGCAAGAGGCACGGGATTACTCTGAGTCGTCCATGGGTCGGTCCGAATATAAATCAACTTCAATAGCACTTCCATTAATTTTCCAGCATGGCTATCAAATCTTCTCTTAATAGCATTGATCATGATTTCATCCCTTAAAATAAAAAAATCATAACAATTGCATAATTCAACTTCAAATTACAAATTTTATTTATTGGTTATAATCAAGACCCAGATTTTTATGCAATTCCATATTTTGTTTGCATACCGTTTGTAAACTGGGCTAAAATATCTTTACGAATCAGCTTACCCAGATAAAATTAGTCCAATTTCATAAAACATATTTGATGATAAATGTATACAATTTCATATTTGGATTGTTTCAAATAAAAAAAATAATAATTGTGGGTAAATGGTTGACTGTTGTGAATGATGAAGAGAAGAATAGTTGGGGTGATCAGTCAAATAAGCGACATTTCGACCTGAAGTTGAGGCCTTCATCAGGGCTAAGAAAAGAACCAGATAACAAGGTATGAGAGACATAAGTAGTGTAGGTAAAAAAATTAAAGTAGAATGAAGTTGTTAGAATAATGACAATAGTAAGAACTAAGAGATAAATAATAATAACTGTTGCAAAGTGTGGAATGATGAAGTAAACATGATCAAAAAAGGTGACATAAGTATTAAAATGAGAATCTTAGAATAAAATGTAAAACAGAAAAGAATATGAAGTTATATAAGAAATGAAAATAAATAGTAAAATTAAGATATTGCAAATAGAATAGTTAGATAGAAAATTGAGATATTGTAAAGTCTATCAAAATGTACAGACAACATATAATATAAAAAAAAATAAAAATTAGAAATAATAAACTGAAATGCAGCACTGAATATGAAATTTCATACAACAATCAATCATAGGTTATTTTCAATCTAACAAACAACTACTAATCTGCGCTTATGACCTGGATGTTTTGCGCCTAGACATCGAAACAAACAAACAAACAAACAAACAACTACTAATTAATAAAGTAACACCATGTTCAGTAGTTGACTACTTACAATATGGATTTTTTCCCTCCCTTTTCTAATTCCTTTCAAACTTCTTAACACCACACTCATTTTAAACTTCTTACTTTCATTACTAGCGGTAATATTTTTTATTATTTAAAGTACATAATGTTTTACAAAATTGAAATATTGAATCGAAGTTTATGCTTCCAAAAATGAAATAGTGTTTAAAACATTTGTTTGTTCTTTTATTGTTATATCAGATTCGTATTATAAAAACATGTATTTTGGTTAATAAAAAAAAAGTTGTTTTAATATAATTTTTAATCTTCTATCCAATTACCTATTTATTTTAGACAAACTAATGTAACTGAATATTTTAGCTGTATTATAGCATATTTGGAGTTTTATCGCTGCATATTTGACTGTTTTTTATTAGATATTATATGGCATATTTCATGAGTTTTTACCGCATAAAAATCCGGCCCTTGATTATAATTTAAAACACCTTAAAGCATATATAAACCAACTTGGTTAACACAAATATCCAAAAACCAAAATAGGAGGTAATAATTAGTGGATTCAGTGATCATAAAGGACCTTTGAATATACATAATTCAAATTTTTTAGTCCCTTCAACTACAAATTAAACAATTTCTGATGTAACTATAATTCCATAATCATCGATAGGTAGAAAATGCATATTTTCTGTAGGGTAATTTCAGTAATTTGTCTCAGTTTTTGTTGACCAATTTGGTAAAAATCAGCGTTTGTTGACTGTGGTTATTGATCATACCATTTAAACAAATTAATAAACACCAAGTGCACTTGTTTGAAGCACAATTTAAAGTGATGATGCACGGTTTAGAAGTTATAGGTGAAAAAACAAAAAATCAACAAATTTGGCTTTTAAACTGTAAAAAAATGTTTTTCTTGGTGGCCCACATTAGCAATAAATTTCTCATTTCAGTCCTCAAATTACTGGTCTAATATTTTTTCAGGAAGCATGATCTGACTGGCAGAATCTCATTTTTCTAATATTAATGTCATGAATACTCAAGAAAATACTTTCAACATTTTTGTCAGACAATGTCAATTTTTATGCACGGGCCCTCGGACTAATATTAATATAATTAAAATAATTTTAAAACAACTCAACACTTTGATTATAAAAATATAACTTTGTATAAGGAAGCAAAAAATTTCGATTCTCATACCCCGTACAATACATTAAAACTTCATATAAATACGACAGATAAAAGATTCATATTTTCTTCATTTCGATTCATAAATATATTTTCAAATTGAGACTATCCGTTTAGGATATAATTTAAATAAAAATACTTACCTAATATCTTGATGAAATCTATCAAAATTGCATCTCCATAAATCTTTATCATTTTCGATAGTTTCTTCCTTGATTTCACCCTTTTCAAGCTGAATTAATTTTTGAATATCGAGTACCACAGGTTTATGCATATCTTCATCTTTCACAGAGAGAATTGGCACTCGCTCTACATCGTTCTCTGGAGCAGGGCATTTCACCAAATACTGATTAGTAACTAATTCGTTGAATGAATCTCTTAACCCAGCAACCTTTGTGTTAAATTTCGCTAAATTACCTGAAGCATTAACTACAAGTTAAAAATAAATCAGTAATATTACAATTAATACATTATATTTCAATAAAATATAAAACAAATAAATTAACAAATATTCAAAAGGGAAAAACATTAGACATATACTCACCGACTTTTAACTTAATCCATGCCTGAAGGATTGTTTTGGTAGCTGTAAGTCTACCAAATTTAAGAACAACCTCGATCAAGTGCCTCGATGAGTCGCCATATTTTTCATTTATTAATGACAAATACCTACAATTATAAATAAATATTTTAGCCATATTAGTTTTAAAATCTCTCAAAGATGAGTTCAAATAATTTATAATAAAATACTAAGATTCCTAAAATCCATCCATTCCTAAAATTGAAGAAAAAAAAAAAAAACAATACTATAATATTCCAATACTGTTGTTGTATTATTTTATGAATTCATAAAAATTACATTAGATGGTGTCATATTAAAGACAGACATCTGTCATTTTCAGAAAGTGGAGATAGAGTCAACTTTTCTTTTTTAGGTTCAACTTAAACTGCGTCTGAGGATTTTATTTCAGAATGCTCAAGCTCATGAAAATAAATCATTAGGATTGGATTAAATTAAAGTTACATTACAAAAATTGGCTTTTTCTCAATTTTTTAAAAATTACAGATGTCCGTCTTTGATATGAGGCCACTCATATGATTTGTATATTCAAATATTAACTCAGACAGTTATATAGTTTACAATAAGTGAGAAGATGGTTTCAATCAAATTTTAGGCAATGATACATATTTATTTATTTATTTTTTTAATATTTGGTTATTGCAATAATTCAATTTTAGTAATAAATAGTATTTTGGGTATTGTACAAGTGTCATTCCACTTTAGTTGATAGCACAAGGTTTCATCAAGATTCGGAATTGAAAACAGATGTAGTTATGCGGATCCTACACGAATTGAATTCCGAGGTACTAATGATGTTCTGATTGATCAAGTGATGGAGAAACTGAGGTAAAAGCTGAGGGGAGACTAACCATACTACCAGATAAGTTAGTTTACCTAGGCCTCACAATCATTGTAAATTCCTGATTTTCATTAAAAGTAAATAGTTTTTCATATCCCTTGTTTATATTTTATAAACCATCTTCAACTAATTTTTTTAAAATAGTCAAGTGGACAATAAATTAAAAAAAAACTTAACAATATGTTGATAGAAAAAATTAATCTTTAACTGTTGTGCATATTTGTAAGATTTTTTTTTTTTTTTTATTTTTCTCAACAAATTCTATATTCCATTCCACAGGACAAAAACCTATGAACGTTCCTTCTTATCCCGCTCCTTCTCCTACTGGAATTCTTTGCCACATAACATCCGTCATGCCTCTTCCCTGTCAACTTTCAAATACCTCCTTTTCCAATATCTCCTTACATCCCAAACAGAAGATTTACCACCATAAATTTCATTTTATGAACTGAATTTGCGTGAAGTAAATAGTAATGCCTACTGTTTAAGTTTTAACATAAAACAACAATGATCTTTGTCACCTAGTTTGACTATTATTTTTATTATTTATTTATTTTTCTCTTCTCCTCAGGTTGTGCTTTTTCTTTCGGGTAAATATGTTTATATTTTATATTTTTGTCTTTATGAGAACGTACGTATAAATAGTTCCTTTTATTTATTTATTTTTTACATTACACCACAAGTATCCTAAGATTTTGTTTTATCTTAGTGTTTGCATATTATTATATAAACCACTGTAGATATTATTACATTTTATATTAAGTTAGTTTTCTATTAGATAGCTTATTGTTTATAAATTGTGTAGTTGTGTATATATAAATATGTAATTTCTCTTGTTTTTTTTTCATCACAATTAAGTAATTTTGAGAAGATTTTATGTTCATTTGTATATATATTTTATTTTTTACTGGTTACATACTTTTTAAATAATGTATATAATATTAAAATTTTTAGAAGTTAGTTTTTGGCCAGATTTGTACTTTACTTTGTATTAACTCATCATTGTTATTCTAAAGGGACTTAGTCCCAGAATAAAGTTTAATTTTCTAAAAAAAAAAAAATTATTATTTTTACAATACTTCTCCTCAATTTTTGTTTGTAGCAGATTTATATTTTTCTAACTTTTGTCAATTTTCAGGCACTGGGAAGTACTTATTGTATCTCCATTTTTCTCTTGATGTACAATACTATAAATGGACAATGTACCAGATCCACACTGACTGTTATTTCAACCTCAACTGAGCTAAATTGTGTCAGTATGATTGCAATGTAAAGGTCATCATGATTGAAGCAATTCTCATCAGTCATACGAATGTCATTCAAGAATTATCACTTTATAAAGCTAATTAATGTTCTATTTTAACTGAAAAGGACTAGCAGGGATTTTACCAAAGTCATAAATTTCAATCTAAATTAAGGAATGTTATGCTGTGAATAAATGACAATCCTTGGCTATTCCCAGAATCTCATTTATAGCATGATCATGAGATCTTGTCCCACTCGTCAAAGTGGAGTGACACTTGTACAGTGGTACCGTATTTATATCTGCAGGCCAATTTACTTTACAAGTATTGGAACACTCTGATGGATATCCCAATTAGCTTTAATAGCATCACTGAACCCTTTTCCCTATTCTCACTCAAAAAGAATAAATTAACCAACAATGAGTCCATTCCATTTGATGCTGAGACCTTTTCTAACAATTTAGTCTCCTACATCTACTTTTATACATACTCAGCCCATTAAATTTTATTTATTAATTATGAAACCTTAAGCCTATTAATCAGATTTGAGCAAAACTTGCAAATAGTACCTCAGAGACAATTTGATCATGTGGTCTTGGTCGACCTGTCATCCAGACATCACATTTCTACAATGTTTTCATAAAAATACTTTTTAAAAATTATATTTACTGAACATTTAAAACTGTATTTTTTTTTACAATATGTATAAGTATATAAGCTAGGTAGATAATAATGATAAATGAATAACAAGATTTTTTTTAAATTAACCATTAATAGCATTAAAAACCATAATTGAAGAGTATATAGAATAAAGAAAGAAATATCTGAAAACATACCTAGGATAACGAAGGAGCAGAAGAATTTTTTCTGGTTGAAGTACATATTCAGCTATACCAATTTTATTGGAATCAAAAGTGACAAATCCATACTGAATGAATATACTCAATACTTTTTTAACCTAAATATAAAAAACTGTTTTATTGATGTCACATTGTAAGTAAATAATAAAATCATGTATTGACTTACAATTGTAATAGGAACACCGGTATTAGAAATAATTAATTTGAGAGTTCTAGGCCCCCACAACAATTCATCGTGTATCTTTCTGTGCGGCTCCCCAAAGTGCTCCAGAATAAGAAGGGACGACAAATTACCTTGCCTTACACTCATAATGAACCGAACTGGAAACTGACATCAAAATTTATTGTTTACACGTGAGTCCCACGGCAGTAACCTTACCCTAACCTGATCCAAAGAGGTCGAAGATGCGAACATTTTTTTAAAAGTTTTAGATGGACTGGTTTATAGAGTCTATGTAAATTAAATTTACCAATTAAAAAAGAACCAACTCTACTATCCTGAAATCGTTAGGATAACCGAAATTTATTAGAGATCTTTTAGATACAAAAATTTAAACCAATCAAATTTCTAAGCTGAATTTAGTAGACATTTCACAATCTACAGGACTAACAAATATATAAATGGTTACTTCACTATGCTATTTTTTTTTTTTGTTTCTTGTTTTTGATATTTTCCATCTGCTGGTGGTATCAAGAAAATAAAATAAATAGTTTGTTTTAGCAATTATGTCACTGTTGTTAGATAATTGTATTTCCCATAGTTTGTGAAATGTCTAAACGCACAACCATCAAGAAACAAATTTGGTTCCTTGTGAAATTTATATGATGAAATAAGAACTACTACCATTAATCCCATTTTGTTGAAATTTTCATAGATGGTGAGGGGCCCTCACTGAGGATTGATATATCGACACCCCCGTATCAACTGATGCGTTTAAACATTTCACAAACTATGAGAAACACAAATATTTAAACGGTTGTTTCCCTATACTAGTATTTTTGATGTTTTCCATCAGCTGTCAGTAACAAGAAAAATAAATAAAAAAAAGTTAGCGCTAATGTTGCTATTAGTTAATTGTATTTCCCATAGTTTGTGAAATACCTAAAAGCACCTTTACGAATTTAATCCACTGCTTTCGCTAAAACGTGCACAAACCTATATTTTTAACATCTTTAAGTTTCGTAAACTTCGAGGAAAGTTGAGGATTAGTGAAAAAAATGATCCAGTATCAATTTTACCTAATTCGATCAATTTGATGGATCCACTACTTTTGTTAAAGCATGCGCAGTAGTATGTTTCTAGACAAGAATATGCTTTATGAACGTCAAGTTTCCTACATTTATTCCACTGCATTTCAAAAATAGTTAAATGGTTTCGACCAACATTTGTTCTTAGCTTTAGAATTGAAAATACACCTTTGGGATCGTATCACAGGACTGATTTTAATCCACCTTGCTAGACTGAATCTTCTATAAGATTCCTAGATGTTCCACGTTTATCTAGTGTCCTCCAAGAATGAAGGTTTAGGGACCTTGTGGGTCTATAAAAGGTGTCTTTTGTGAGAGATTAACAAAAGATATTTTTAAGTAACATTTAATATACAAAGTGTTTAAGGGTTGTGGCCAAACTGCAAAAATGAACTAAGGACCTCAAATAAAGAAAAAAATTTCCTCTGAAGGTATGTCCGTAAACGCTTAGTTTAGGAGATATTCACACCTAAAGATTTTCATTGTTATGTGTTATTTACGTTATATTAAGTAAATAAAACTCATTTATTTGTTCCAACTATTTTATTAAACTTAGTGAAAAATTTCACTATGGCAGAAACCCAATTATTGGTCAAAAGGAGGATGTTGCTCTAGATGATACATTTTAGAACATAAATTAGAAAATTGACGATGGAGCACATTATTATTATTATTATTAAATTTAAGCCTTGCATCCACAAGAGTATTGGAATTGCAGTTCTGAAGATGGGAATAAATGTCCCGAAACGTCAACTAACTTGTTAACATGTAACGTTGATAGTAAAATATACTCAATTGTTAACAACTGGAAGTTATTATTGCCAAACAACTAAAATAAATAGGTTTTATTTATTTCATATAACGTAAATAATTCATAACAACGAAAATCTTTAGATGTGAATAAAGCGTTTGCGGACATACCTTCAGAGGAAATGTTTTTCTTGTTTTGAGGTCCTTAGTTCATTTTTGAAGTTTGGCCACTTAATCCTGAAACACTCTCATCATCTCTATCGATCTTCGGCTATTTCTTTCCACCTATCGGCACGTAGCTCTATTGCATCTTTGTTCATTTTATCAATCCATCTTCATGGTCTCAGAAGTGGCATCCATTGGTATGTAGAGGTTTCCTGATGGATTTCTCAGAGCTAGCTACACGCCCTGCCTTTTTTAAGCTCCTTATTTTCATATCATGAGGTATTGATTGACCAGTTTTTGTAAGCAGTTCTTTATTAGTATTTTTTCTCCAAGTGTTAGTACTCGATCCCAGATCGCTCCGGCTATCGTCCTGAAGATTTTTCTTTCAGATCTTTTAATACTTCTTTCTAGGGTGCTGGTTAGTATCCAGGTTTCGCAGCTGTATATCAGAACTGAATTTATCATAGCACAGTATACTTTTAATTTAAGATTTCTTGTTTTTGCGAGTATTTCAATACCTTTGAAAGAGAGGTCAGTTTAAGCTTGTTCTGTTTCAGATTTGGTTACATTTAAACCAAAACTGTAACATTCAATATAAAATTTCCAACAAATGTAACTCTTGATTAAATATAAATTTTCTATTTGGATTGGGCTTTTTTTGAGAATTGATGGAGAGAAGCTGTTTTCCAAACAACCAACAATCAAACAGCACTCCTTTCTGAACTGCAATGCCATTATGAAGAGAAGAATAGTTGGGGTGATCAGTCAAATAAGAAGCCAAAAATAAATGATAATATTTATTTTGATGTTTGCTGATGTTTCGACCCCAAGTTCAGACTTTCATCAGGGCTGAACTTCAGGTCGAAACGACGGCAAATGTCAAAATAAATATTATCATTTATTTTTGCCTTCTTATTTGATTGATCACCCCAACTATTCTTCTCTTCATTATTCACGACAGTCAACCATTTACCCATAATTACAATGCCATTAATATTTATAATACTAAAATATTTTATAAAAAAATGACTCATTACATTCTTTTATAATTATTTAATATAAGCTTAGGCAATAAATAGTTAGTTAGGACGCAGTAGTTTTTAAGGTTTTTATTGTTGCAAACGTTTCAACCCAAGCATGTGGGTCATCATCATCAAGCACTGAAGGTGTTCAGATACTGTCAGTACGAAATGACTGCATCCTGACTATTTATTCCCTATGATATGTATTATAGTCGACTAAATCGGTTTGCCGATTTTGATGAAAATGTTGCTATAACATCGAAAGCTTATAAAAACCTTAAATATGCAATTTCACTTTCATACGACTTTTCATTTTTGAGTTAGACTGATAACATACATACGACTGTTTGGTGGGACTTTATTTGGACTCAGTTGGATAGAGGAGACCTCAAAACATGTATTTCCGTTGAAAACTCAGACTCGAAAATGTTCATGGTCGCAATACTTATCCTTACTATATATTGCATATATAGTAAGTGAAAATAAAAAATTCTAGATTTGTGAATTGATTTCTTTATTAACTTCAATATCTACAATAACAAATATTAAGCACTCGGAGAAGACATTAAATTTTTTTTTCTTCTGCCTTACTACAAATTGTTTACAATATATTGTCTCAGGTTACAGTAAGTTTATGTATATTTCATAATGTTTACACATCATATCCACAACGGCAGGCAATACTGTACATATTTCTAGACAAATGTATCTTAAAATAAATAATGAAAGCTATTAAATTATAGTCATCTCAAATGAAACAATTCTTTAACAATTTTCAAGATAAAAAATTTAATAAAACTGCAAGACAAAAAATAAAAATTAAAGCAATAACATTAAATTACAAAAAAACTTTGTTCAAGGACTTTCCTGTACTCCTTTTTTTCCTCTTTTTTTTTTAATAAATTTTTTAATAACTTCGTGAACACAAGAGTGATAATATCTATATACAATCACTTCCAATAAACATAAATACAAATTTTTAACAAAAATGAAAGTTATAAACTAATTAAGCGTAAAGTAACATATTTACACATGCTTTACATGGTAATAATGATACAAAAACATTAAATCAAAATGTCACAATAAATTATAAATTAATATAATATGAAAAATAAATATCTTAAACATAACAAAAATAACGTAAATATACAAAATACTAGTAAAAATTAATTTAAAAAAAAAGAAGTATATATAACTATATGGGTATGTACACTATCACAATTAGCGAATAAAACGGTTATAAATAAATTTCAAGAGATAATTTTGAAATAGTTTTATACCAACTGCTATAATGTTTGGAAAACAAGTAGATAAAAATATTTTAACAATTTTTTCCGCTATTTTTTTGTTTTTTTATATTTTACACTATAATGCATTCATTCAATTTTATGAAATTACAGGTTAGGTTATGTTACATATTGTCGTCAACTTGGGTAAACAATCTACTGACAATACGATATGCATTATCGCACCATTATCTTCATATTTATATATATATACATAAAATGAAACATATAGAACGACACAACACAACAGGCTCCTACAATGATATACATACAGCTAATCATCTAAATTTATGATTTATATTTGTTTAATACACAATTCTACTTTACATCAAAATACAATAGATTTTCTCTGTCTTTCGTTTATAACAATTATATTATATATGATACAGGTTTGTGTAATATATTTTTTTTCTATTTTCAAATACAGTCAAACCATATGTATTGAAGTTGCTAGTACTGAAAATTTTCATAATTTCTTTTAAGAATCTTCAATTTTTATAAGGAAAATTTGTTCTCTACTTTTTATAACATACTTGGTACAGTATCGATATTATAAATACTACATATGCCCGAGCACATATGAATCAAGACTATCATCAAACATTTTGTTTCTTTAATTCTCGCAATCCTGAAAAATCAATTGTAATTTTCATGAATTATTTACATATGAATGTCAATGATAGAAAATTTTGGTAGAATTATTTTCAAGAAACTTTTAAATTCGATACATTGAGGTTTGACTGTATACAGAACAAAAACTGCGAGATAATACAAAAAAAAAAAAAAAAAAGAGATCCTCTTTTCGTAATTTCATAATTATAAGAAACGTTGCACATTAATGACTAGTATGAAAAAATAGAGATTACAAAGAAAAATCAGAATCCATTTCTAAACAGACTTTAGTCTTGAAATAACAACTATGGTAACAAAAAGTCTTTGTGAAAACAACGAATATAAAGTATCTTAAATGTTACGATTGCAATAAAAAAATATTTTACCTGATTTAGTTTAATAATTTATCAGGTTTATAAATTAACTGTCGGAATGCAAATCAGTTGAACAAGTCAGAAGGAGGCTAACAAACAAAACTTAACGGGCTTGGAGCCCTCTTTTGACATCTTAGGCCTCTCGTCCACCAGTCGCTATGATACGCAACAAATCTGCATCGCTCGGAGGTGAAATATGCTACTTAGATCTACAGCTATAATGAGCTAAAAATGGTATTTAGCAACACTTGGCTACACAGCATTATAAGATTTTTCACACTAAATCATGAAAGATTCAATCTTGTTTTTATTTTGTTTTTTCAATGAAAAATAAAAATAATGAATTTTGATATATTAAATTTAGTTCAAGAAAAGGAAAGAAAAAAAAAAAAATTGGGGAATGATCAAAAGGAGCAGCAGTACAACCAGGTAAATGTTGCAATGAAGTTATGGAACGAAGTAGCATCAGAAACATCCTTTAAAGCACTTATAACTTTGAGAGATTCTCAACCACTTGTTATAAATTTTATTTTTGTTGTGTTGCGGTTCGATAGCTTTAAATAAAGACAAAAATTATTTGTTTATTTTACAATTGACTGAATCTCAATAAAACAAATCTATTCGAAGTAAAATTTATTCTTCAAACAAACTTCTTATCCTTCATTCATTTCATAGAAAATAAAAAAATAAATAAATATCGACACAGTACTGTAACTGCGCATATTACTGACGTTAGACATGACACTTCTTCGGAAAGATTTTAGTCGAGGTTTTTGTTTGTGAACTACGTTTTATTTTCAGTTGTGTTACACCTTTCCTTCAATTAATTAGTGTAACAAAATGTAGTTGAGTCATTGAAAGATAAAATTTTTAAGATTTTTCTGTAATGTAGAAGTATTAGTTTATTGATTGATAACCAATAATTAATATTTTATTTTTCAATTAGTTTTACACAATACCTTATAAAAAAATATTTCAAATAAATTATCTGTTTCTTTGATTTTTTTGTGATTTACTTCAGAAAGTGATATTGCAGTTATTTTACCTATACATATTTAAAATAAAGCTAAAGCTATTGAATTAAATTTTTTTTTAATTTTTCGCTTTATGTTGTACTGATTGTTTTTCTATTTTATCAATTTTATACTTTTTGTCTTAAAGATCAATGAAACCTCCCTCCCCACCCCCCACCCCCCAAAAACACTAAAATAAAAATTCATTATTCAACTGTTCATTAACTAATTACTATTAATCCACTCTCTTATCCTTTTCTTGGATCACTCTCATCGAATAAGAGGGGAATAAACAGCTAATCATGTTATCAAATAAAAAAAACATTGCAATGCTGTCGACTTTTCAAAAGGGAGTAGCACAATGCAGTTGGCTAAAGGCAAGTTCGCAGCCTTTGTAGCGCATTGTTACTTCCGGTGGACAGACGGCACTCAAAAATTACACCTTTATCATATTTCATTAATAAAACATTTTTTAAACAGATCTATAAGTTAATACTCTAACATTAGGAATGTATTAAACACATTAAATAATATTTTTTCTTTCTTTTTATGTATTTTTAACCAGTATATAACATAAAAAACATAAGAAAAATGTTTCAATAATGAAAAAAATCACAGAAAACACTAAAAATAAATTTTTTTTATTGATAATCGATCCAAGCAAAATAAAAAAAATATTATTTAAAAATTCAATGTCATTAGAACTAAACATTATAAAAAAATAAAACATTGTTAAAAATACTGACATAACACCCTTGTACTGGTACAGAGCAGATCATATTGTCTCGTTATAAATCAAATTAACATTTCTTTCTTTCATTGTTTTATGTTCAATTATTTATCACAGCATATTAAATTCAAATTCCATCAGACTATTTACATATATTTTTGTGTCTAACAAAATAAAAAAATTAAATGCAGTCAACATTTGTGACGTATGCACAAATTGCAAAGGCTAATAACCTTTATATAATAGAAAATGGTAATTGCGTAATAGTCGACAGTATTTTTTCTTTCTCTCTCTTCAAAGCCATTTATTCTTTTTTTTTTTATAAACAAAAACAATCAGATCGACCAAAATGGGCAGTCATATCGATAGTATCGGCTAAGTATACTCAATGAATGACATGGGATCAATCGTCAAATAAAACTAAAATAATACAGAAAACAATAGGTTTTTTTTAAAATTTAAAAATGATAATAAAGATCGTTAATAAAAATTAATTGCTAAATAAAAAACAATAATGAGGTTTATAAACCATATTATGTGAAAAGTTTGAGAAGATGCAGAAATTACCATATCGCAACCTACTGATGCAATCCATCTAACAGAGCATTCATCAGGAGGTAATTAAATTTAAAATATTTCAATAAAGGCTTTTTAAAAAGAATAATAAATTTGTTTTGGTACTTTTGGACTTTATAATTAAAATCATTCAGTTTACCTAATGAAAACTGAGTTAACATTTGTAACAAAAATATAAATAAATAAATGCTACAAATAAAAAATATAATGTTTCCGAGAATGAAAACCTAAACTTTAACAGACTTGTTTATTTTTTTTTTTTTTAGGTGCTACATTGAAAAACGCAAGTTGGATAGATCAGCTACAGAGTATACTGTCAATTTAATTAAACCTTTAATAATGGATAAACCATTCAATTATTAATTCCATTATTTATAAAAATGTATTTATGCGATTTCCAAATTGCACACGTAATTGCCAAAATAAATAATCGATATAGTAATTGCAATTATAGATACTATTTTCATCATAAACATAAATAATTTAAAAGAAAAAATTACATGAAATTATCTTCATAAATAACTATAAAATCATTTCCAAGAAGTTTAACAACAACATTACAGGATCTTCTAATGCATGTTTCTAATTTAACTACAACAACGGCAATATATTTATATATTATTTTACACATTTTAACGTATGATTTAATTTAATCAAATTCGATTAAACCTTTTTTTTTAAATTTATTTCGTAAAATATATCAATCTCGCTACAGAAAATATATATCACAAATATTTCAATAAAACTCTTCAACTACATAATGGAATAATTTGTATCAACTCCTGATAATTCTGTTTCACACTTAATTAATTTAGTTTAAATGAGACGACTAGATTGAATAAAATGAAAAATGTGATCAAGGATGACTGGACAGTTATGAGTACAGATTGGTATTAATTAATAGGGACGGAAAATCCTAAGAAAGAAAAATCAAAACTTCTAATTCTTTCAATTATTTTTTTTTAGATTAGCAACAATTCAATCAAACTTAAACATAACCTCGATAGAACTAAAAAGAAAAAACTTAGATATAGATGAATACTGTTCGAATAATACCTCTGCACTTGCAGGTAAATACAATTTTTTTTCATATTGAGCCGAGCGCAGGTAGGCACATTCTACCATATTAAGGTTATCAGCGATGAGCACAATTCCTACCTCAATGATTCTGCATGTTGCGCAGCGATGTATGACAACCCTGGCAGACCCTGACTGGTTTAAAAATGCGAAGGCGTGATATTTCAGCTTCGAATCTACTGCATCTAAGGAATAATGTAAACAATAATGAAATTCTCAGATTTATAAGAAGTCAAACTCATATTATAGTAATATTAAAATTAAATTCAAAAGCAAATACTAAAAGTATCAAATTGTCATACAATCCTAAAATATTAAAACAATAAGCTCTCAATACAATAGATGCTCATTACTCTGACTACGTAAAGATATACACAGATGCCTCCAAATCCAATAACCAAACAGTAATAGCAGTAATGAAGTCCTCGAGGAATAATTTAGCAATTAATGAATATGTACAAATCAATCAGCGCTGTTTTCCAATGGGGAAAGAATTTAAAAATACCTGAGAGTGGTAGTGACAGACCGAAACAAAATGGAGGCTGAAATAAAAACCAGAATTACAGCAGGTAATGAGTGTTTTTATGAGGCCCTGGCAAAAACACTAAAATAAAAAGAACTGACATAGGATGACAAAGTAACAGTTTCAACCATTGTTAGGTCAGTCGTTACCTGTGGATGTGAAACGTGGGTGTTGACTCAGAAAAGCGAGAGGTCCTAAGTCCTGAGGAAAATATACAGTCTCAAAAGAATAAATGATCAGTGGCGAATAATAAAAAAATAAAGAGCTATAGAGCTTCATAAGAATGACAGTATTGTTGTCTAGGTTAAAAGGTGCCTCCTCAGATGGCTAGGCCATGAAGACAGGTTGCCTAGAAAGCTTCTCTGCCTAGTTCTGCCATAAATAACTGTTACAAAAGTTGAACTTTGTTTACATCCTTGGGTATTATTTAGATAATCCTTACCTCTATCAGGTTATTTTCGTTACATGTCAGGATAATAATCCTAATTAGTTTGTATTATTCTTTCACTGAGTTAACATGGAGCAGGGTGATAAAGAAAACCGAATAGCTGTGATCGCCTTACACAAAGTTGGAAAATGTAAGTCAGAGATTTTCAACACTTTGGGTATCAGCCATGTGTTCATATACCGCACTATAAATAGATATAATGAGACCCTATCTGTATGTGACAGACATCGACTGGTCCGTCCCCTCATTGTGAGAACTGCAAATGCAATGAGAGCAGTGGCTTGCTCAGATCAGAAGAAGTCCAATTCAAAACAACAAATCATGTCTCGCATAATAAAAAGTGACTTTGGGATGAGTGAATTTCAAAGAATGACAGGACAAAGGCTAACCACTTACCTAAAAAAAATTAGAGTGGATAGATGCAAAGTGATCCTTGGCCGTTACACCAATGGTCTTCATCAAGATTTTGTTTAGTGATGAGAAAATTTTTACAATTGAATTAAAATTTAATTGCAAAATGATCATGTGTACACACACAGCTCTAAAGAAGCCCAGGAAGTCATTGGAAGAGTGGAAAGAGGTCATCACCCTTCCTCATTGATGGTTTGGTGGGGAGTTAGCTTTGATGGCACCACAATGCTCAATTTTTGTGAAAAAGGAGTTAAAAGAGCCGATAAACAATATCAGGATGATATTGGCCTGTTGTCAAGCCTCTAAATGATACTTTGTTTGCTGGAAGTCATTGGGTTTTCCAGCAGGATTCCGCTCTAGCTCACAAGGCCAGGCCAACTCAGCAGTGGCTGCAAAAGAACATTTCAGAGTTCATCTCTGCCTCGGATTGGCCCTCAGGAAGCCCTGATCTCAACCCACTAGATTATCGGCTTTGGTCTGAACTGGAGAGGATGGAATGTCACACTAACTTGGAGCCTCATACAATCTCTGGTCTGAGCAGTTGAGCTTTTTCCTCAAGAAGTGCTGCATGCTGCTATTGATGACTGGCTACGGAGTTTAAATTCCTGTGGGAGACATTTTGAGTAATTTATTTTTTGTTTTACTCTCTATAGATATACATTTTATTTTCTAATAAAGTTTTTGAAAAAATTAATTTTTCTGTTGAAATCTGTATATAGTTCCTAGTAACATTATTTATGACAGGACTAGGTATAACTGCCTAGGAAGGTCACGCCTTAGGAGAAGACCCTGGCTGCAGTGGATTGATGACTTAGAAGACCTCAGACGTATGGGTGTAAGAAGATGGAGAAAAACAGCAGGCAATAAGGAAGCTGGCTTCTGAGACCCAAGTCCGTTAAAGGGACTGTTGAGCAAACTAATAACAGTAATAGATCCAGCTACAGAACTCATTATTTCCTTTTCCATAGCAGCTAAATTTAGCATTATCAGAGCTACACTTTTCGCAATCTTAAAAGCCCTTGATTATTGTTGAAATACATATTCAAACACTAACAAGTTATTTTAACAGGCTCAGCCTCTTCTTTTAGACTAGTGAAAACAGTACATAATAAAAAAAAAAAAAAAAAAAAAAAAAAAAAAAGAGATTACATTTAACATTTGAAATAATTAATATCAGGAAACAATCACTACAAATTTCAATAGATAATAAACCATGTAGCATTGTCTAGAAACGACACTGCTGACAGAACTGCAGGGAAGAGACAAACAGTGAAAGAGAACGTCAAGGTAATCGTGATGGGATCTTCTAAGATGTCTAAAGAAAGAAGTGGTAAAAGAATGGCAAGATAGGCACGATTACGAGTCACAATCAAAAGGGAGAGTTTCTGCTGGATCCCTTGGTTTGTTCTGGATCTGCAACTCAAGTGAGAAAATATAATTCCGACTGCGGACTAACCACGGATGCACAAATAAATATCTTACTCTTATGGGAATGAAAAAAAGGAAAGCATGAAGTCTGTAAGCAGAAGGCTTACGGCACATAGCACCGAAGGAAGAGGCAACATGTTTAAGAAACTTGGACAGAGAGAAGATCAAGAAGGTTGAAATGTTTTTTTTTTTTTAAATACACAATGTTGGAAATTTGTAGAAATCTGTAAGTGTACATACATATTTCTTTAAAATTATATATTGACCAGAATAGGATTTTCAGACAAATCTTGAAGGTCATTTGTAACAATAAATAAATATAAAATACTAACTTGGAACAGAAAAGCTGACCGCAATTCCTGCAGTGATGCCTCCTCTCGTAAATACTAAAGCGGACCCTGCAAGAGGCACACGCTTCGGCTCCGTCGTCCTTCAACCAATGGTCAACCCTTCCGGCTAGTTCACCGACGCTCCAAGAAAATACCCGACCACGAGCATCTCCAACGTATACAGTCCTATGATCTCTGTAAATAAAATAATAGATAAAATAACCACTAAGTCAATGTAGTTTATAAGCTAGACCAGGGGTCTCGGAACTATGATGTGTATGATGATGCCAAATTAGTGAACTAAGTAGTTATAACGGGCTCCACTTATTAATATATTGAACACAATCTCTACAAGCCTTTAATAATGCAATTATCATTATATAAATAGGCAAAGGCAAAACAGTTCAGTTCTTTTTTTCTCTCCTTTGTTTTTCAACTTGATTTTCCTTTTTTGTTAAGTAGCTATTGGCCAGTTTTAGTGTTATAAATAAAAAAATTTAAGAGGCAGTTTATATAAATAAAAATGGAAATGATAATTTGTTCAAGCCGTTAATCTCTGGAAGTTCTTCACCGATTGCTTTGAAATTTCGATGTATCATTGTAATCAAATCCAGGCGTGTTTTTATATACATTTCATTACGATCGGGCCTTCTGCTTCAAAATGGTGGCTGAAAAACATGAGATACTAAAGACTATAATAGTGCCAAAACAACTGTAACGATTTTAATGAAACTTGGCTAAAATCTTCTTGAAGCTCTTTTAATTTATGTATACAACATAATTCCCCAAAAACAGGATGGGAAAAAAAAAAGTAACGATGTATTTAGAATTATATTCATGAATAACTCAAAAATTGCACTAATTTTGGTTTATTAAATCTATTTGTATTTGAAAGCTTCTTGAATTCTCAACAAAATTAAAAAAAAAAAAAAGGTAAAAAAAAATTATCGAAATTCAATCATGCCCGATAAGGCATTTTTATTGGATTTTTTTTTTATTTTTACGTAATAATTTGAAAACTCCTCAAATACAAATTTTCATAGCAATCGAAAAAAAAAAAATTGTTTGCTTAAAATTCACAACTTCAAACGATGAAGTCACATTTTCAAAAATTAACACAGATTCAAAAAGTACATAAAAATATATAAGATTGAAAAAAAAAAATGTCCAGCAAATTCATTTATGTTATTCTTAAATTGTTATTAATTATAATGGTCAAATTTCGACAACTTGACAAAAGTAACTAATCAATTAAAATCTCTTAATGGTAATCTGCTGTTTTATTTTGAAACAAGATATTTGAAGCAAGCCACATAAATAATTATTACAAGAATGAACTAGTAGAAAAACAAACACTTACCTAGACACTGCTAAGGATGTAATGGAAGCTGGTTCAGTGTTGTCCTTTCTGTCGTAGGCGGTGTGCATCGTCAGTTTACTTCTGAAAACTAATTGTTTCTGCCACATAAAACCTAGAAATTTAATAAACATATAAGAACTATTAAGTCTGTAAACTATTTTATATATAATATTTTCTGGCTCACAGTAGCAATAGATTTTGCAAAATGAAGTGTTGCTTAAAATTACCAAAATAGAAAAAGTATTTAAGATTATTGCACAAACCTTGTAGATATATAAAAATGTTAGCTAAAACAAATTAAATAATATTATTTAGTTTACCATCTCTGAGGAGGTGGGGAGACTGGCGAGCCCTTCGAGGCGGTGGAGTTGGCATTTCCCCGACTTCTTCGCCGTTGCCGCCGACTATGACAAAGCTCTCCGTAAGAGAAGTGTCGCTTTTACTTGGCCTGATTTTGAGGCTTTCATCGCCAGAACCACTCTCTGTTTCGACGACACGATCAGGTATACATTCTGATTTTCTCAACTGTATAAAATATTATTAAATTAATAATCACCAAAAGACTTTCTTTTTTTTTTATTAATATTGTATTATTGGAAAATCTCAATTTGGACAATGAAACATAACTAAAACCATGAAAAATATCAAATATGTCTACAATATAAAATAATATGGACTGTATAAGAAATTAATGTCAGTATAACAAGGTTCTAAGAGAGGAGAAAATTTAGATTCTTAGCGAATTATTTCTGTTTCTTGATTATGCCAGTATTGGAATACTGGCAATGGCCAGATTCTCCACTCATGTCCTGAGTGTCTGTTGCTCTAGTGCCCTCCATCAGTCTCCACTGGCTTGCAATACCAGCGACGCGGCTGAGAGAGAAAGCATGACTCAGAATCCTCTGGGCAAATGTAAATATTGTATATAGGTGTGAATGTGTTTTATATATTTCAAATTCATTTAGCTTTTTTATATTTTCTTATTTTATTTATTTATTTTTTTATTATTTTACCTATGTATGTTAAACTCTTTTTCTTTTATCTCTATTTTAGTTATAATTTGTATGTATATATTGTGTGAATGTTTAATGTAGCCATAATATTAATGCCCTCCCGTGCGGCAGAATGTATTTATTTTCAAATAAAAAAAAAAATAAAAAAAAGATTATGCCAGTCATGTCATAAGGGGTATTTGTAGTTCCTTGTATAACCAATTATTGGTTTGTTTTTGTTATGTAGAAGCGATATAGTGGGGAAATTTAGACAGGAAGATTTGAACAATGTTTAAGTGCAATGTTTAGTATGAACCCCACACCCGAATGACAAACTAGATGAACAAGTTTTTTCCAGATCTGTTGCCAATCTATTGAATAGAATTTAGTATAATGGAACTAATCCAAACAACATGCCTTTTGAGTAAATTCACGTCAAAGTCAATGACCTAGTAAACTATTAATTGGTTATGAGAAGGAGTTGATTGGGGAGGTACGGTCAAATAAATACTAAATTAAAAAAAAAAGTATTTTTAATTATTATGCCGACGTTTCGATCCACCTTGCAGGTCTTCATCAGGGCGTGGCATGTGGCACTGCTGGATGTAGTTGATAGACTGGCCTTGAAAGAGGCTTGGCAGTTGATAGAGGCCAGTCTATCAACTGCCTCCTGCAGTGCCACATGCCACGCCTTGATGAAGACCTACAAGGTGGATCGAAATGTCGGCGTATAATTAAAAATACTTTTGTTTAAAATTTAGTATTTATTTGACAGCACCTCCTGATCAACCAGCTCTACATCATTATTAATTGTTTAATTTAAAGATACAAAAAATATATACAGAGTTTAATTAATTACACTCTTATAGTATTATTATAAAAGTAAATCGGTAGATTAAAAAATTATTAAAAGATAAGATTTTACCTGAGCATTATTTCGAACTGAGGATCGCCTTCGCCTGACGACGGGCTGTGGTTGGTCTTCTTCTTTCTTCTTATTTGCATCTTCTTCATCACTGCACTTCTCTTTTTCTTCTAATTGAATATCCGGTTTCTTTTTTTGAGCTTGAGCTTCAATTTCAGCCTTCTTTTTCTCGTTCTCTATCAGCTGCTTTTCACACTCCTCCGACAAGCTGCTTTCAGATCCACTTTTAGCAGCAAGGCTTGCAACTGAATTGACAATATATAAATAAATTAATAAAACATAATGAAATTATTAAAATATAATTGGCTTTGACCATGGTTTGTTGGTCAGTCACAGAATGGTTTATATAAAATGGAAAAAGTAAATGTAACTGAATTTTAAGAGGTAGAGTTAGCCTCTTTAGAACACATTCAGAGCCGAAATTTCTACAACCTAAGGTGAGCATAGCCAAGGCCCAGAGTTGAGAGACTCTCAATGTCGCACATCACTGATCCAGCTAAATGGATGGCGATGCATACGTGCACCACAACAATAATGGCTAGGAAGAATTCTCTTAATTCCAATCACATTTTACCAGACCATATCTTTTTAACACTGTTTTTGAGATAAAGAGCGATTACATCTATTTTTTATTAAATTTTTATAACAATCACATGTAACTTCTAAATTCTATTTGATGAAATCTTTTAGATTATCTGATGGTCATAATAAAGTCCAATAGGCGGCTATATCTAAGAGAATAGTCAGAAGTGAGCAATTAATTTACAAATGAAGGAATCAGTCGTTATTTTGTAATTATTTTCTTCCAGAATTTTTTACATTTTGGAAGTGGGAGCCAGTTGCCCCCTGTTTATATTTGCTAAAAATGGTCCTATTTTTTTTTCAGGAACTTAGTAACTTTTCAAATTATGATGATAATGATCCCGTATGACAGATATGGCTAAGTAGGGTGAAGAAGAAGAAGAAAAAAAAAAAGATGCTGATGATCACTATAAACAGTACACTTTTTTGAATAATGTAGAAATAAAGATTTCTTTCCCTCATTTTTTTCAGTAGGATATACTTATACTTATAAAGATATATAAATGTTTTAAGACTGTAGTAGACAGCCCCCTGTATTTACTCCTTTATGTGAGGGAATGAGAATGTATATATAGGAATGTGAGGTTACACGGTGAATTGTACTCAGTTGTTGAGTGGACAAATTATTCATTGAAAAGTCTCATATCGATAAATAATCGATGAAGAAGGAAGAAGGTTGGAGGTACTGAAAGGCCCCAGCAGGCAGCAACAGCTGGAGAGGTAAGGGGAACAGGCATTCTAGGCTGGGACAGGTAGAAAGGAGCTTGTCAGGAGAGAGGAGAACTTACTTACTTGAGGCGGAACACATACCTGGGAAGAGAGGCTACTACAAGATTGAGAAGATCAAGTCTATAGTTATAACACTTTAATAGAGTCAATTTATTACAGTTGTAGAAATAAATTATTTTGTTATACAGGAGTGAAAAATCATTTATTTATTTAGTTGTCCTATATGCCTCACAATTGAAGAGTAACAAATCAGGTGAGTCAATTCATTTAAAGTGTAATTACTAAGTCCCACATCATATATATATTCTTATTGTTTCTTGTCACTCAGTGTCACAAAAGGTATTAGATTCCCGAATTCCGAACAACAGTTAAACACCCTCAAGAAGTCTATATCCAGTGCCGGGGTTTTGTTTTATTTATCTCGAGTGTAAATAACCTAGTTCCCTGATAAAAAGAAGGCTATTAGCCTATTCCCGCCAAAAAGAAAATTAACTTTTAGCATGTTATTTACAAGACCTTATTCAAAGACAAGACTTATTGAAAGTTTCATCAACATCATTTGAATCAATTCAGCACAACAGTCAATAAAAAAAGACACTTTTCAGCTATTGTATATTAAATATTGTTTATAAATGTGCTGAAAGCAATCTTCAAAATATGGCTTTACCATTGGTTTCGATGAAGTATTAAGAAAGATATAATGGAGAGACAATAATATATAATTATTTACAATTACATCTGAATACCTCTATCATCATTCGGGTAGTCAGTGGATAAACTGGAAACGTGCATCTGTTTGCCAAGGCGCCTGTGAACGCTGGATTTGGTTTCCTCGACAACACTCTTCGATTTGCTTTTGATCAAAGGATATGCTAGAGGTCTCGGGGTAGGAGGAGGATCGTCGATCATACTGTCTCCGGACAGCGGGCAGTCTTTAGGCACTTGAACGTAATCTATAGACCACATCTGTAAGCAAAATAACCTAGTAAACAAATAGATTAGGCAATCTTTGATAATATATTTGTAAAACCATAAATAGGAAAAATGTGGTTTGAAAGAAATCATGTGATTTTTAATTTTAATGTACTACCACAGCGCACCATTCCGACAACACAAATCTTGGTCACTAAACTACATTATTTCCCAATGGTACATTCATTGACTGAGCCATATTGCTTATAAAATCCTTTACGAAAAATGGTGTCTCCAAGGATATATAAGCTCTTATAGCTTAACTATTTATTCAATTTTTAAAACGTTTCGAGCAGTTTGCTCATTCCGAACTCATCATAGTAAGAGAAGTTCGGTAATTGACAAACATTATACAATATGCGAATAAAATGCAAGGAACGTGGTAATTTACATATTTGTAAACCATAAATAAGATATAATAGAATAATATAATGGTAAGATTTTAGAAATTATTGAGTTTTGATGACTTTAGAATGAGCAAACTGCTTAAAACGTTAAAAATTGAATAAATAGTTAAACTATAAGGGCTTATATATATATCCTTGGAGACACCATTTGAAAGCAAATTTAGCGCTCTTAAAGAACTTCTATCAAAGTAACTAAACATAAAAAAAAACACAATCTTCTTGACTATTAAAACCAGATTACAATTCCATAAGATTGAAATTACTATAAAACTATTATTATTACAGAGTAATAGGCAATCATAGAAGGGATACCCTGACAACTCCATCAGTAGATCCCGTCAACAATACGTTTTGTGAGTCCCATTCTCTGCATTCGGAGAAGGCTACGCACAAGATCTGCTGCATCCTATCAGCCCTGCCCACGCTGGTGTTGACACTGCAGAGCTGTTCTCCGTTGATTGTCCAAACGTGGAGCCAAGTTCCTGCACAAGTTCCTATGTCTCCCTGAAAATAAGAAATTAATTATACATATTTTAATATTGTTGGTTAAGACCACTTTATTTGTAATAATAAAAACACACTTTAAATCACAATAGTCCTACTTTGTTTTTGTTTATAAATACAACGGTTTAGACCTTAGACGATTTTCAAAGGAAGAAATCTATTTTAATATAAAAATAAAATTATATCGGCTGAATTGCCCTTATCACAATACCACAGTGCATATAATCTTATTTTTATATTAAAATTGGATACTCTGTATTAGGTTCATCAGGCCTAAGGGCTGAAACGTTGAATGTAGAATAAAAATAAAGCAGGATTATCGTGATCTAGATTGCTGGTTGGTGTCCATGTCTCACAGCCATATATTAGAACTGGCTTGATCATAGCATTGTATACACCCTTAATCTAAGATTTTTGGGATTTTAATACCTTTGAAAGGGAGAAGAAAGCTCTGTTTGCGCTAGTTATACGCTGTTCTATTTCTGACCGAATGTCACTCATTAAGATTATTGTGGAGCTGGAGTATTTGAATTTTTCTACCCTCAGGAATGATATTATTATTTTATGGTTTATGTTTATATTATAATAATAAATTAAATTAAAAAAAGCATTACTTTATAATGCTGACAAAGGGATCTCTGACTGCACCAGGACATATCACGTTCAGTATAGAAGAGTCTTAAAGGTCTGATTGCAGTCATATTTAGATATAGAACCGTTTAAGCTTTTGGGACTAAAGGATTTATAAAATTATGTAATTTTTTTTAAGTACACATAATGTTAAAGAATACTGTCATTTGACTGTTTTATTGAACTCTAATGAATTAAAAAAATCAAAGATCTTCTGGTTAAATATAGAACATGTAAGAAAAATTGTTGAGAATCAGGTTAAATAATTTCAAAATATGTTGCAATATTTGTAAATATTTTACATGTTAAGCTGGATTGCTCAATCAATAATATATAATGGAAACTTACAGTGAGGTCATTGATTGCGACGGCAGCGACAGGAGCATTGTGCCCGATCAACTGCCTGACAAATATGCGATGTGAAAGGTCCCAAATGATGGCGGTGGCATCCCTGGAACCAGAGACTATTACGTTGTAGGCAGGGCTTGCCGCGAGGCAGATGACCGCTTCGCTGTGCCCGGTCAGTGTTTGCACCACGCTAATCTGCTTCTTGTTGTATTCCCATATGGTGACCACCTGAAACATTAAGAAAAATTAAATCAGATCAGCATTCATGAAAACATATATAAAACAGAGGAAGTAATAAAACATAATGATATAAAGTGAAGCCAAATGTTATGGCTTAGAATATATCTTATAAATAAATAATAAAAATAATACAATAAACTTGATAAAAAATAAATAAATAAACCTTTACTACTATAATCCATGAAGGGTCTTGGGTTAATTACTTTGTAGTAAACTACTGTTTCTTCGTCAACAGTTGTGCAAAGAGATGATTTGACCGAGATCAAGCTTAATCACCAGGTTTTCTTCTCCCAATTAGTTATTTAATTAAGAGTACCCACTTTATGGGCCAATGAGCTACCCCACTCCCCATTAAACTTAATACATTCAGAAAAATAAATATGACTTATTAAACTACGATAAACTCAGTTAACCATCTAAAATGAATATTGATGCCTTCCAGATAAATGAATAAATTGCTTATGTTTTGGACAATTAAGAAGATACAGTATAAAGAGAAATATAAAATGTTTTGGAATCATCCTGTTAGATTGAAATAAAAAATTCCAATACATTTTTTTTTAAATAGATAAATCACTACAAGAATCGATGGGAAATAATGATCAGAAGGTAATTAAGATAATTTACAAAATCAGATGCATATGCATAAATTTTATCACATATGATATTCCTTTGAGGCAGTAATAATATTAACATGAGAAATGAACAATATAAATGTAAAGACAAATTAACAATAATTTTCAATTTAAACAGAGAAAAGCAGCTCAATAAAAGTGAAATCCTTTAACAGTAAACGTGGAGTATTAAAGATGAATAAGAATAAAAGGGATCTACTGACAATAATAAACTGATCAATGAGATGTTTAAAATAAAAAAAAGGTGATTACCGAGCCTGTTCCTGCTGTAATAATGGTTTTAGCATTAGGGCAAACACAGGCAACTATCTCGCCAACTGTGTGCATGACAGTCTCGCAGGTGAAAATGGCTCTATCGCTGTCATAGTTTCCCATCCTCAGGGTATGATCAGCAAATCCCCAAGCAACGTAGCGAGTATAATTTGGAGGCACGAGAACTTTATTCTGTTCCGTGGCAAGAACAGATTTTTCCCACTGGATGATCTGGCCAACGGATCCTTTCAGCTCTGAAACAAATTAAAGTATGTTTCATTTTCTTATATTAACGTAAAGAAAACATGCTAAGTGACAGTTTGCACATGTAAATAAGCCAATAATAGGAAAAAACTTGATGATACATACTGGATGTGTAAACATTTATTATGACCAATATTCAAACTATGAAGTTATGTCTTGTGCATCCGATTTAAGTCATTTTATCAACAAAAAGGATTTTTTTGTTAAAGAGAGAACAAATGGAGGTTTTACACATTCACCATCAAACAAGGAAACATCCTTAGTTTTTATTAACCTCTTTTCAAAATATTGGAGCTAATTATTAATCATAATAAGTGATGATGGGTAATTAAAACTTAATATTAATCACTTTAGGATTAATTACAAAAAATACTTAATAAATAAATAGCTATTGCAACAATTAATTTGTTACTTTCCACAAAGAGCCTGTTATAATATGACTTTTCAGGAAAACATGCTAATGTCTAAATGGATTGTTGTAGAAATTGTTTCAGCATAACACATGTAAATAACCTACTGAAAGTTAATTGTAAATTATTAATTTTGGCGGGAATAGGCGAATAGCTTTCCGCTTTTATATCGGGAATTGAGGTTATTTACAGTCGTAAATCATTAAAACAAAACCCCAGAATTTTTTAGGGTGTTTAACTGTTGTTGGGAATTCGGGAATCTAAAGTCTTTTGTGACACTGAGTGAGAAGAAACAATAAGAATACATATATGAAATGTGGGACTTAGTAAATACACTTTGAATGAATTGACTCACCTGGTTTGTTATCCTTCGATTGTGAGGCCTATAGGACAACTAAATAAAAGGACTATTCACTCCTGTCTAACAAAACAAATTTATTTTAACAATTGATAATAAATGAACGATCGTCTTGATAATCTTGGTCTTCAATGTAGTAGACTCTCTTCCCAGGTATGTGTTCCACCTCAATGTCCAGCCTCAAGTCCGTCTTCCTCCTCTCTTCTGACAACTTCCTTCCTACCTATCCCGGCCTAGAATGCCTTCTCTTCTCTCCAGCTTTTGCTACCTGCTGGGTTCTTTCGGTATCTCACACCTTCTTTCTTCTTTATCGATATGAGACTTTTCAAAGAACAATTTGTCCACTGCACAATTGAGTACAATTCACAGTGCAACCTCACATTCCTATATATTAAATATTCCTTCTCATTCCCTCACACAGAGGAAACAGTTTTGTATTATCCAACAGCATGCATTAGTAAATCCACCCTAAGTAAAATAAGTGCAGTAATTTACGAGTATTCAAGATCATTTCGAATTATATTAAGTGTTTGAGTGAATAAATACTTTAACCAGAAAAGATACCTTTGATTGGATGAAGTGACGGCCTCAGATTATCTAGATTATGAAAGAAGAGCCTTTCGACTAAGAAGCAGGGAGCAGTGCTGATTGGGGTCGGGTCCAAGACGGACACTCTCTGTCCGAGCTTCTTCGCCGGGTGGGCTTTTTTGAACAACTGTTTAGGGATTTGTCCGAAGTTGTTGATAAATCCGATGGTAGCATTTTTCTTCAGAGGGTCATCAATGCTAAAGTAGAGATAAATAAATATAAACAGATGATCAATAAATGGAAATATATAACAAAAATAAAGGGATGTTATATTACTTATAAATATCGACGTTTCCTTCATAAAAAAGATGATGGAAGACATTGACAGCGTCGACAGCAGCGGACCCTTGTTGCTTACAGCCGAAGATGAGATCGATCCAATGGTGAAGGTTCTGAGAAACGTAGTCGCACTCCAACGCTTGTCGATGCACCCTGATGAATTCCCTTGGGTCACCTTTAGCCCAAGGTGGCAAGACAACATTTCCGAGCTGTATACCATTCTGTTTGCACCCTGTATATAATGAAAATCTAATTAATTTTTTTAAAACATAAAATAATTAAGTTGTAGCAGGCAATGAGTGAATTTGATGGAGGGTTCTGTAGGAAAAATAAGCCAATGAAGGTATCCAGATGAGGGTAAGAGTAAGATCCTACAGTTAGAAATGCTAAAAGAACAAATCCACATATACTGCAATGGATGGGAGAAATGGAAGCAATGTGAATTATCGGTACTTGCCTAGTAGCCGGTCGGGATCGACTGCTATCTGCCAATGTTTATAACCTGAGCACTGATGATTCTGATAAGCACTGATAATCCCTATCTTGGTATTCATATTTATTGTATTATATTCATATTATTGAAATTTTAAACGAAAACAAATGTAATAATAAAAAAATACGGTACTTATTTAAAAGCGGGTAGCGTCCAACTGCTATCTGCTAATGTTTATAACCTTAACACTGATAAGCTCTTCGAATTCATATTTGTTGTATTATATTCATATTATTATATCTTCGTATTCACATTTATTGTATTGTATTGATGTTATTGAAATTGTGAACAAAATCAAAAACAAATGTAATAATAAAAATACTTTAATTTTACAACATATATATTAAAATAGACCAAAACATTATAAATATATAATTAAAAAACATTGCAACATATATATCAAAATAAATGAAATAATAAAAATAGACAAACATAGATGAAATAATAAAAAACTACTTAAACAGCATATGTACATATAAAAGAAACACTATGAAGAAACGATTTAAACAAAATATGATAAATTTTATTTTAACTTGATTTATTATGGTAGAGAAAAGTTTTATGGTATTTAAAATAGAAACGGTTCTGTTACAACTACGAAAGCATCTCCATTTAATCTTCCCGTTGAACTTTATTTGATGACCTTCATCACAATAATAGACCTTTGCAAATATCCCGGCGTCTTCAAAATATTTTATAGCCTCTTCTTCTGAAGACGGCAATTCCCACAATGTGACAACATCCATAATCAAATAACACCTTAGGTTAGATGAGATAAGGGAGGTTATGTGAAATGAGATTATATAAGAAGGGAGGTTTTGACGCTACCCACTATTAAATAAGTACCAAAAATACTTTGATTTGAAATTGAAATAGACAAAAAGAAATTAATAATTCCCACAACAATAAGAAAACATTTTCATTTTACAAAATCTATATCTAATTCAATGACTTTGCCAGGCCCTCCAATTTTATTACTTGACCTGTATAACAAGTTATGGGCACAAACCTCTATTAAAAATTTGTTCCACGTTATCATAGTTGTTTTGGATAGTTTCAGCTGCTCTTTTTATTAATTTTGAAGCTGAAAAAACAAAATCCTCGGCCCCTCTAACCACGTTCCTTTCCTGATAGAAATGTTTTTGTTGGATGGTACGAAAGCATTTCCATTTCATCTTCCTGTCTAACTTCATTTGATGACTTTCTTCACACAATTTCACATTTGGAATTATCCCGGCATTTTAAAAATATTCGATAGCCTCTTCTGAAGATGGTAATTCCCACAATGTAATAACGTCCATAATTTGAAGAAAATCACACAAACGCTTGCATGAGATAAGAAGGGAGATTATGTGACGTAACATTAGATACGTAGGTTTCGTCCCGATTGGCTACTGGATGAGTACCGAATTATCTTTAGAAATGTTAGTCGTAACAAGTAAACCGAACTTAATCTACTACCAGATTTTTTTTTTTTTTTTTTTAATACTGTAGTTAGAAAGCATTAACTGGCGCATCAAAATTAATGAATCAAAATGTAAACATGTAACTTTCACTCTTCGACGCAGATCCTGTCCGCCAATCCTTTTTAATTCAATTCCTCTTCCCTACTCAGACACAGTCTGATACCTTGGCTTCCTTCTGGACAAAAGACTGACTTGGAACCCACATACGAGACTTAAAAGACAAGAGCTTAACCGACGATTTGGTCAGCTATATAGACTACTAAACAGAACATCTGATCTCTCAACAGAAAACAAATTATTAATCTACAAGACCATACTGAAACCTATCTGGACCTACGGACTTGAGCTGTGGGGAACAACTAAATCATCGAATATCAAACGCATCCAATCCTTCCAGTCTAAAGTCCTTCGAACAATAGTCAATGCTCCATATTATGTCACGAACAAGACCCTACACCATGACCTTAACATCCCATATGTCCATGACATTATCCCATCCAGATTCTCCAACTTTCACCAGAACCTCATACATCATCCCAATCCTCTAGCCCAATCCCTATCCAGCTCCGAGCATCCATACCATCCCCCTCGAAGGTTGAAACGGCAGTGGCCTCGAGATCTTTTGTAAATATGCCTTTGGAGTCCTGGCAATGGCCAGCTTCTCCACTCATGTCCTGAGCGTCTGTGGCTCTAGTGCCCTCTTTCAGTCTCCACTGGCTTCTAATACTAGTGATGCGGCTGGAAAAGTGGCGCTGGGATCTTCCGGAGTCTTGCTTTGCCTTCCACATGTGGGGGAAAAAGCCTGGTTCGGAGATTCTTGGGCGAATGTATATAGTTATGATTGTGTTTAGAAGTTTTTATTTTATTTTATTTGTTTATTATTATTATTTTTTCTTTTCTTTTTATTTATCTTCTTCATCAGTATTATTTATTTACTTCTTATATTTATATTTATTTCTTTATTATTTGTATATATTGTATGAATGAGAACTTTTAGCCCTAATGCTTATAGCCCTCCAGCAGTGGCTGATTGTATTATTATTCAATAAATAGATTAAAAAAAAAAAAAAAAAGAAAGCATTAAGTTATCAGGAAAGTGAAGCTCCACATCTTCAACAAGCCTGAATAACCACCTGTATTCTTATGCCAGAAAATTAGAGCAGCAAGGCAGATTCATGGCTGCGGAAATGAAATTTCTCAAAAGAACTGCGGAGAAAACAAAAATGGATCACATCTACAACAAAATGATTAGAGAGGAGCTCGAGGTTATCTAGATGGAGTGCTAGGTGTCCCACTGATTAAAATGGAAAACATAATAGAAAAATTGGACATGCCCGTTAAAAAAGATGGACAACGTTCCTGATGACGGAGACTAAAGAATAAGATACATGAAATATTTTGAGCACCTCCACAGAATAAGAAGTATAAATTTAGACAGGGCAGGAACCTAAGATCAGAAATTAGTGATAATCATGGCTCCTCTACACTGAGAAACACTAAAAGGATTACATGAAAAAATGAAGATAGTAGTATTACAATTGCATAAATGAAGAGGCCATATTAATAGACAATTAGAATGAAAACGAAGGTAAGTAAATATTAAATAGAAAATTATAAAAACTAAGAACAAGTAAATTTATTTTTGAATTATAAAATATTAGTTTAAAAAATTCACTGGCACATATGAATTTGAAACTTTTTTTTTAAAAAGGATTAACAAGTTCTTTCACAGATTCAATAAATTTTTTTTTTTAAATACTTGAGAACTTTATCATACCTAAATCGAAGTTGTTAGCATTGGTCAGAAACTGCGGTAAGTAGAAAAACTCAGGAATGAGTTCTTTCACATCAGCCATATTATGTTTAGACGCAGATAGCCAAGCTTCACGGATGCTATGAAACATCCTATCGGCTAGGTCGAAATGTCCTCCCTGTAAAAAGTTATATATTTAATTTTTATTAATAATATCTGTTTGTAAAATAATTAGAATCATACAGCTATCCTTAAAATTACTAACTGAGTTATAAACAAAAGAATAAATAAATTAAAATATATGAAGAGATAGTGCAGCTATAAAATAAGAGAAATAGATAGATAAATCCTACATGACCATTGCGTTTTAAATTTCTGCCTTGGAAAAATTACCTATGACTACCATCTTTTAAATTGCTGCCTTGCAAAAGTTATCTACCATTTCATTTTTGTTCAATTTGGCCCTTCTATTTTTGAAATTTTTTTTTACAATATTTTCCAGGTCACAAAAAATAAATAAAAGCTTTATAATAATTATTTTTGCACAAGACAAAGGTACTTTGAGGAGACAATTTTTCACATCTTGGATTCTTTTTACAAAACTGGAGGCAAATCCTAACTTACTTCATTCAACTTAGTTCAAAAGAACTTAAAGATTATTAAAAGTGGGGAAGCTGATAAAATGTGAACCAAATAACACGTGAATAAAGTGAAATGCCGCCAAACTCACTTGTAGCCTCAAAAAGTGTTGCGTAAAAGGTTCCATCCTCACTAAATAGGAACAGACTATCATTGCGGAGGAGTAATGCGTGCCGTAATGGTACGGAGGAGTTTCACCGTGGGGATCATCCCACTCTTTGTACCTGAAAAATAATAAAATAAACATTATAAAAAATACTTATGAGGTATTGTAAATGTAAAAAAAAAAATCATGTAAGAGTAGCTGGACAGATTGCGGTGAGGTTGAGACAGGATGATCGGATGTGTTGGAGGGACAACCAATTAACCACATATCATCCCCATCTTGATAAGGTAACGGATGAGAAGAATCGTATTTTATGATTTATTAATTTTAATTATTTTTGAGAAATCAAATCTCAAGAACATAAATCTAGAACCAATAGAATTTTAAAAACAAAGAAAAAAATTAAAATACCACATTTACATAATTGGGCTACCTATGCTTTGGGTAGTGCATAAACACCCCTTTAAGATTTTCAAATATTAAGTTTAATGAATAGCTATAAAAAAAAAGAGCACAAACAAATAAATCAACATTATTTAATTTTCAATTTTACTTATAATTAAAGTATATAAACAAAATATACGATAATGAGCCAAACATTTCACTCCAGTAACAGAATCTGTATAAAAGGAAAATTGTTCCCATGAGAAGACAAATTCTAATACCTTGGATCCACAATAATTCAATGAATGACTTACAGTCGGAAATGGACCAGTGTATAACAAGTGCAAACAGAGCTGCCTTCTCTCGTTCATGTTCTATATTTAACCAGAAGATCTTTGATTTTTTTATATAGTACAGTCAAATGACAGTATTCTTTAACATTATGTGTACTTTAAAAAATTACATAATTTTATAAATCCTTTAGTCCCAAAACCTTAAACGGTTCTATATCTAAATATGACTGCAATCAGACCTTTAAGGCTCTTTTATGAAGAACATGATATGTCCTGGTGCAGTCAGAGATCCCTTTGTCAGCATTATAAAGTAAAGTATGTTTTTTAAAATTTAATTTATTATTACAATACGAACATAAATCATAAAATAATGATATTCACGAGAGTAGAAAAATTCAAATACTCCAGCTCCACAATAACCTCAATGAATGACCTACGGTCAGAAATAGAACAGCGTATAACAAGTGCAAACAGAGCTGTCTTCTCTTCTTCAAAGGAATTGAAATCCTGAAAAATTTCACATTAATATTAATGGTGTACAATGCTATGATGAAACCAGTTCTCATATATGGCTGTTATTTGGACACTAACTAGCACTCTAGAAAAAAAAATATTGAAAGAATTGAGAGAGAAAAAGCCTCCGCATGATGGCCAGAGCGATCTCGGATCAGAGTACTAATATATGGAGAATAAAGACCTACTTACAAAAACTGGTCAATCAATATCTCATGATATGAAGGCAACGAAATTAAGATAGGAGAGATATGTAGCTTGAAGCAATCCATCTGGAAGCTTTTACATGACAATGAATGCCTCAATAGTAGACAAAAGATCACATGGAAGACCAAAAAGTAGATGGATAGATAGAATCAACAAAGATGTAATAGAGCTGCGTGCAGATAAACGGAAAGAAATAGCCCAAGACAGGCAGAGATAGAGTAGGCTTGATAACGCGGATCTACAAGTTCTATAATGCTTACAGAAAGAAAAAATTAAACTATATTATAGTATTATAGTGTCTTATCAATGTTTCGAAAGCAGAGATATAACAAAAAATGTAGATGTTTATAACTAGAAAAATAAAATAAAAACCTTTTCTTGAATTGTTCAAGACGCTCGGGGCTTTGGGCTCCCATTGGTTTAGTAAAATCCCTAAAAGTGGACGCCTCGGTCAAATCCAATCTTTCTGAATCGTAATCGGCCAAGATCCAAGGAAAGACGGGATACTGCATCAGGTCGTTGTAACTGCGGCCAGCGAGGGTGTTCAAGTGCATTAAATACTGGAAGTTAGTAATTTCTCCACGCTGTAACATGGTAAAGCATTATAATTATAATCAAACAACTTGTTGAAGTAAATTTTAAATAATATTTATTTATTCATGAAACATTATTTGCTCAATAAACGAATTCTCAATATATTTAAAAGTAGCCACTGATGATCTTTCCAAATGGAAGAATAGAATAATCAACTGAAATCGTTGGGAATGATTGAAGTCAATGGGATCATTCCACTCTATCATATATAGGCACTCAAGCTCATTTTCAGAACTATTTCAAACTCATAAATATTACTATTCAATGTATTAATAAGAAACATTACGTCTGAAAATTATTTTGACAGTCAAAAGGATGTAAATAACAACTTAATTTTTTAACAATACTACAAACACCAAAGTGATATTTTTGTTACTCTTCTTTTAAAAAATGAAAAAAAAAAAATGGTAAATATGTATTTATAATCATTTTCATATTCAGAGCCACTAAATTTCAATCTATAGATTGATGTAACGCTTTAGAATTAATGAGATAAATAATTATCAATTTACAACAGCAACAAAATTGAAAAACAAAACCTAAATGTTAGCATAATTTAATAATAATAAAAAAAGATAGTAGACACTTTAAGTATACTAATAATATGGGTGATATATATTCAGGACGCAGTATTTAAAAAAAAAATTTTTTTATTTATGCCAACGTTTCAAACCAAACATGTGGGTCATCTTCAGGGTGTGGTTTGAGCACCGAGGGTGTTCAAGTACTGCGGGCAGTTTTAAAAAAAATACTGCATCCTGAATATTTATCACCCATGATATGTAGAACAGTTGACTGACTTCCTTCTATACTAATAATAAATTATAAATTCACTAATAATAATTATTTCCTTTCAATTAATATTTATATTTTTAAACACAGTAGTAAAAAAATAAAATAAAATAAACTATATATTTAAATTTATAAATATTTTATACAATCAATTTTAATATAAATACATTTTAACAATAACGCATTTACAAACTAACAATTTTAATTATTATTATTATAGCACAGCTTAAAAACTGTACGTACAGTCAATTTCATTCTTGTTTTCTACATTTACGTATGGTTGGACTGATGGATTTCGGAGAGATTTGAAAGAGTTTAAGAACGATAGAATTCCTGCTGTTCCATATAAATTGAAAATCTAAACGAAATTCGGAACTCTTTAATCTAACGAATTTTCATGGGACGGAGAGCTCATGAATGGCTACTTTAAGAGAAAAACTTACCACCCATCGCTGAGTAACTGATGTTTCCCCTATAAGACTAGATAGAAGACTCGCGGTTTGCTCGACATTCGCAGTACGCTTCTGACCAGCCACAGATTGCTGAGCACTATCTGCTAATCCAGTAGCAAATGACAAAAATCTAGAAAATATAATTAATAAAGCTAGAGAAGTCAACAAAGAAAAAAGAATCACAATACTTATTTCATCTAGATTTATACTAAATTAAAAAAAACAAATTAAAATGAATTAATGCTAATAAATATAAATGTTTATATTAGAAGATATTCAAATATTAGGCAATATCCTTAACTTGCTAGCAAAGGAAAAAAATACAAAACAAAATGTACTTAAAATACATATTATTATGAAATAAAAATAAAAATGAATGAGAAGATAATAATATAACAAATAGATGAACACAGATGTTTATTGGCCAGGTCCTCAATAAAATGTCTTCTGGACGGATTGTAACGTTGAATAGCAGTGGATAGTGCTTGAGTGAGCGGATTGCAAGTTATAGTCACTTTGTCATGAAAATTACTGAAAAAATCTGTGGCAATTTCTGTAACCTAAGGAATGTCGAGGTCAGTACAAAATATCTAGCCAGATACGTAACTTGGGGTATCTACAATTTTCCTATTATCCAAAGTGGTTTTATGAGGACTTTATATCTAATTTATTAATCAGTGATATTTTAGAACACCTGCCAAGAAGTCTAGAAAGACGACTATATTAATTAATCGATTAAGTTCTTCTCTGTACTGTCTTAAGGTACTATTTCACTGACACGGTACACGACCGCGACTGCTTGCGGTTGACCACTGCTTTAGTAGAATAGAAAGGAACCTATTTTGCTGGTGCTGCTCAGCAGGCTAGGTATGACGTCATATCTAAGCTGCTCCTATCTGACCGCTCTGAAGCAGTGCAGCTGTTGGCGGCTAGGTTATGTTATCATATTAGAGCATTGTTTTGATGATAACAGTCACGTTGATACGTTTTATTTCCTATGTTTCTTTCAAGTCTGGCAAAATTATAAGAAATATTGTTTAAAACTTAAACAATGCAATAGTAAATTATTTTTTTAAGGTTGAAGTAACAAGATTATTTATTTCACCAACAATATTTTACAGCGAAATTCAAATATACCTAAATCCAAACGATATTAAATAAATAAAAGAATCCAACAAATTTTAACGTCAGGTAAATACTAAAATCCACTCATTGAAAAATCGATATTTATTTTTTAATTAAAGTGGGAATTTACTGATTACTATTGATAAAACGATAAAACTTCGCCTGCTGTGATTTAATTACAAATATATGATATCTATTACTAATCAATTATGTAATAATTACTATTACTTTTCAAACTAATAATATCTAATATCAGAGGGACTATTGTTGTTAGTACGGCGTTTTCTGTCTTTTTTGGTTCCTCAATTTTTTGTTGTTCATCTAGACAATAGCAAACAATGTCCAAGAAGGGATTTGATGATTTGGATGAGGAGCATCTCATTGAAATTCTGATATTCCTTCTCTTTATGAACAACATTTCCACTTCTTCTTCTTCCTCCTCAAATAAAAAAGTGGTAGTCAGATAAAGGATGTCCATTTTTTTATCTTCGAAGATAAAGCGAAATGTTCGAAGGTTATAGGCAGGTTATAACAACCTCAGTGAGCAGTTTCAGCGAAATAGGTACGCCAACAGCGGTTGGCAGCGTGGAATAGTGGTTGCTGTCGTTGGCCGCGCCAGCGAAATAGTACCTTTACATTACTTGTTCATTTCAGCTGTTTATCCAGGTAGAGATCAAGATATCATACTACTTCAGGATTCAGTATTGCAATACTGATTAAAAATGCTTGATGACAAGTGTCATGACTAAGTTAACTCATTAAAAAATATATATATATATTGCTACAACCTCAGACTACGACTATTATACTCACTTCTTTCAAGAGACTCAAAATTAAATTACAATAGAAACTGAACACTTACATTTATCTACTTAATCCTATATGGACCTGTGCTTGACAGTATACAGAACAGCCAAGATGTTCCACATACGAAAACTAGGAACTTTTCAAGAAAAACTTTCAGAACTATAACTAAAGCTCAATGTTACGTCCCAAACATTACTTTACATAAAGATCTTCACATGCCAACAAGTTAATGACCACATACGAATAGGCTCAAACAAGATATTGCTACAATTAACATGTCCATTTGGGAGGCTCAAAAGAAGCTGGATGAGGGATAATCTCCTCACTTAAAAAGTTTACTAAATTCAAGATAGGAAGGGATGCCGTAGGGCAATTCTCTCCCACACTGGAATAGTATTCTTTCCGACAACAGACTCACTGATTGTCACTACTTCTGATAAGTGTAGATGAAAAAATTAGGTTTAAAAACAAAAAAAAAATTTATACATGAGAAGAATATAATATGCTATTTGATTCATTCGTTTTTAACCTTTGTCTTTTATAATTTAATATAAATTTCAATATAGAGAAAAAAAGTTACCGTTGATAAACTTTATTTCTGATTTTTCTTGGAAAAGCGAGAAGATAATTCCTTCCATCACCAGAGAACACTTCGAGAGCCATCGGTTGTAACAAATATCTTCTTTTATGTACTTCTCTGAAATGTATAAGCAATAAAATATAGTGCTTTATAAAATTTATTAATCAATTTTCATAAAATTTCAGTTCTTGAAACTATAGAGATTATCATTATTATAATTAAATTAAACTAGTCTGAATAGCACTATAAATGACAGGAAAAAAAGTAGTTATACTCAAATAATAACAACCTTATATCTTCATAGTTAAATTTTGAGCATTGTCGTTTGGAAGAAGACACTGTCCCTTGAGGAGGAAGAATTGGGTCGTATGTATCCGGAGGTAGACACTCAATATCTCTGATCTCTCGAGACTTGAGGAGAGTAAAGCCATCGACAATATACAAATGTTCTTTACCAAAAAGGAGAAGGCCTTCCATGGTGTCAAGACCTTGAATCCTTGCACATCGAAACATGTGACTTATCTGGAAAAATTACGTGTGATTTCAAATTCTTATTCTTTTATTTTCAGAATTGAAAAGCACCTTACATATGTACAGTAAACCGTCATTACAACAAACTTAAAGGATCAGAAATTCACTATTTTGTTATAAAGAACTTTGTAATATCTGAATGAAAACAGAAACAATTAGTTTAACGATGTAGGTAATCTTTTCTTTTTTTTTTTAAATAAAAACCTAATATGTATAAAAATTTGTTTATTCAAACAACATAGTTATCAGTCAAATTGTAATTTTTTCATACCTCATTCCACATCTCGTAAGATTTGTAATTAAATTTTCAAGGAATACTGTGTTTTGTTTTATTTTTAATCGAATAAGAAAATAAAAAAAACATCAACAATGAATGTATAATATCTTGAGATATTAAACTAATAATTTCTGATAACAAAAAAGTGAGGAGGCTTAATACCTTTTCGGGAAATAGGATTCCTTAAATTCTGGCTAGAACATATTCATGTAATCAACAAATCATTTTCGTTTAATGATTATTACGTTCAAGGGACTTGATAAAATTGAAATCTGAAGTTCTATATCAAATTTTGACATTGCAATGAGAAATATTAAGTTACTTATCATCACAATAGCATTATTTCTCACTAGAAGTCGAAAAATAGTTCACTAAAATAGTGGAATTAGTTCATTAAAATGAAGATGAGATTGGAAAATAATTTTCTAGAGGATCTGAATTTGGTTAACTATTACGAGAAGATTGTATCAGAGTTTGTAGCAATGAGGATTTACTGTATAAAAAAAAATATATGGTAAATCAAAACCTTTTCATTGGGTTCGAGGAGCCTGAGGATGGTTTGGTTGTCGGTAGGACTCTCTTCCTCAATCCCTCCGACGTCTACTTCACAATCATCACCGCCTTCATCAGGTTCGGACACTGACCTCTTCACAGCTCTTCGCAATACTCCACTTTCCAAATTATCCAATGCCGCTGTAATAAGTTTAATTGATATAACAAAGTAAATAGAAATTTATAACTTCTTATAACATTAAATTTAATATTATATTGGTTTGGAATATCTGAAGATATAAAACAGAAAATATTCAGAAGATTTAGACAGCACTTATTCGAGAAGGTTTTATAACCTCCTGGACTGTCCAGAACTTCTACAACTATACACAAGTAAAGGGTTTTCTAAGCAATTTTTCAACCATATTCTTTCAATTTCCCTCTTTGGTCAGTCAGATTTTCTCTTTTTTCCCCATCAAAATGAACTTAGTCCTTTCTGCCCAAATATATACAAAATAACACAAGTAACAACTTGTTTTATTTATATTATTAAAAAAATAGATACGTTTCTGGTGTGCTTATTTCCAACAAAACCAGTGAAATAAGAAACTTTCCTGTTAAAGAAAAAATTAAGTCATAATAGACAAATTAAATATAACTTATAAATCCTGCTTATGAAAGTTACCGTTTCCATGGTGATTAGGGATGTCTTCATTAGAATCGACTGATTGGTGATTGTGCTCTCTCTCTTCGATAATTATCTTCTCCTGTTCGCTGATCGCGTGGGCCTTGAACTTCTGGTAGTACTCTTTACTGTCCCAGCAGGTAGCTACTTTGTATTTCAGCGATTTCTAAGAAAAATAAATAAAATTATGTTCATTATAATAATTACAAAAGCTAACAATAGGTTTGTTAGAAATTACATAAAATTGTTCATAAATGGGCTGATTTTCTATTAACTTACATTTTCAATAGAATCTAATTCAGGTCTATACGGATAGTGGATGTAAAATTGATCGTTCCTCATCATTTTTTTCCTCATACGGCATGGTCCTTCAGTCATATCCAGCATCCACTTATCTAGCCTTAACATTGAAAAACAGAATATTATTAGATAAGAAATATATTCTTTAAAGCACATCAATAAGAAAAAGGTGAACCATTCTAAACCAGTGATATGTGGTATAGTATAGTGAGTGATAAGTACACCATAGTATAATAAGTAAGCAACCGAACACTTAGTACTATTAATAAAAAAAAATGAATATTACTAATATCTACTATATTATTATAATACAGCTTTGCCAGTCATATAATAACCTAAAGCCCTCCACGTTTTTCTCTGGTGGGGGAGTGTGAAGCAGACTCATTTATTTTATAAATATTTATTAACCACTTTGTAACCTCACTTGAGACAATTCGAACACATGTTTATAGTCCGTCGTATAGAACCTCTTTTATTAAATTATTAACATTCGGCTGGAACTTCGTAAATAGCTTCATTTCATCGTAACTTACAAATATTTTATTTTCGGAAATTTTCTTATTAGGGGCATTTTCAATTTGGAGGTTGGCAAACTTTGTCTATTTAATGAGGTATTAAAAACTCGTAGATAGTAATTTCCTTTCCACTTGGTTCATAAAATAATTTGGTCACAAAATCTATAAAAAATGTGGCCTACAAAAATGTTGGGACGTTTGGCCTATGTAATCTACTAATATCTACTATACTCCTTATATAAAAGATGTTTCAAATTGATTTCATTTATTTATTTCTAGAAAAAAAATCCATCTTTTGAACATAAAAATTTGTTTATTATCTGACGGACAATGTTTTAGTAGTTTTAATTACTATAATAAGTATGTGACAATGTTTTAGAAAATGAAGTACAAAATTTCATCCAACAGATAATTAAGTGAATTAGGTATTGTTTTACAGAAATCTACATTTTAATTTTTTTTAAAATGTGAATATTTCATGAACATGTTTTAAAGTATTAGGACCTTGAATAACTACTTACTAGCTGTTTCCTAGCAGATGGCAGCACTATTACTATATGCATTTCATTTCAGACGATAAAGCGATTTTCCAAGAACTACAGTAGGAAAGCTTTGGACTTTGATCTATGTTAGTTCGCCACAGTGTAAACGTTTTTTTTTCGTAGTTATACAAATTTCGAGTTTTGTACCAAGTAAAGAATATTTGCAGGAAATTTTATTTCTGCTTTGTTGGAAAAGACATGTAGAGACAAGTTTCACTGCTTCAAACACACTGATCTTAATCTTGGAGATAAAGTACGCTCCAGCACATCTTTACACAACGAAGCAGGGGCCGATTATACAAGGTGTTTCAGGATTAAGTGGCCAAACTAGAAAAATTTCCTCTGAAGGTATGTACGCAAACACTTTGTTTAGGAGTTTTATGAATTGTTTACGTTATATGAAATAAATAAAACCGATTTATTTGTTCCAACTAATTTATTAATTAAATGTAAACATTAACATTCATATTAAATGTAGTTCAAAGTGAAGGTATGTCCGCAAATGCTTTGTTTAATAGATGGATTATATAGAATACTAATACGGCCTTTTATCCCTAACTGTATAAAAACTATTGACAACATAAGGATTAATACTATTCGGAATTAGCATTGGGAACTCTCAATAACATTTATCAGTTTGTAAGAGCTTTCGCAGAGTACTCATCATTATGTCTTCCATTTATACTAATGGTGAATATGCCGATTTGGTGTTCATATCGTTTTTGCAATGGTAATGTTTGGGGTGACATTAAACAAAAAGTCTTTGCAAATCCGGTCAATGACCTTAATAAGAAGGATAATTTAATCTTGTGAAACAATAACACACCCAGTGCCGTTCCGCCGCTGCTGCTGTTGAAGAAATATGCTTGTCTTAATGCTCAAGGAAATCACTTTAAACAACATTTAATATGAATTTAATGTTTAAATTTAATTAATAAAGTAGTTGGAACAAATAAATAAGTTTTATTTACTTAACCTAATGTAAATAATCCATAATAACAAAAAAATTTAGGTGTGAATATCTCCTAAACAAAGCGTTTGCGGACATACATTTAAAGACATTTTTTTTCTTGTTTTGAGGTTCTTAATTAATATTTTCAGTTTGGTCACTTAACCCTACTTAAGCCTGTAGACAAAAAAGGGGATATTACGAATAGACATTTTTTTTTTTTTAATTTGTTGGATATTTTCATTTCATTAGAGATGAAAAGTTGTTCCTATCAATAAATGTATTAGAAGTTTGGATGATTAATAAGATATAATGGAAATAGCTTACTTAATTACATAATGTTTTATAAATAAATTTTCATTACATAAATAAATGTAAATAAAAAATCAAAATAAGCAACCTCGAGGGGAGCTGAGGTCCCCAGAGAGCTCTCTCCCTGGTAAGTTCCGTTTCGATTTGAAGCCATTCGTCGAGGACATAGCGTTCCATGTAATCTTGGTTATGGCTATGCTGCTTTGATTGCAGCTCCACCTGAAAAAAATTAAACAATTTATCTCTAATTACTAATCGATGATCAGTATTTATCATACCTATTAATTATCAAAGTATTTTATCAATTTATAACAAATTCAATAAAAAAACAAGCATAATTCAATTATCTCAAGGCTGTAAACTGTAAAATTCTAAGTATTTTTCATGAATCTATTCAATTAAATTCAAACAAATTTAATGATATGGCCGATAGAGCTGTAACTGAAGCTCACTCGTTAGATAAAGCTAAAAGCTTTCATCTAACAAGTACTGAAATATTTCAGCCAATAAGAGAATTGTAGTAGACACCACCCGGTATTTACTCCTCTATATGAGATTGTGTGAGGGAATGAGAAGGAATATATAATATATAGGAATGTGAGGTTGCACTGTGAATTGTACTCAATTGTGCAGCGGACAAATTGTTCATTGGAAAGTCTCATATCGATAAACAATCGATGAAGAAGGAAAAGGGTCAGAGCAGGTAGCAGCAGCTGGAAGAGGACGCTAGGCACTTGAGACTGAGACACGGAGGCATGATGACGTTACCTGAGATGAAAGAGGCAGGACATTGAAGACCAAGAATATCAAGCCGACCGTTATAACACTTTAATATATTCATTTATTATCAGTTTTTAAAATAAATTGTTTTGTTAGACAGGAGTGAATAGTCCTTTTATTTAGTTGTCCTATATGCCTCACAATTGAAGAATAATAAACAAGGTGAGTCAATTCATCCAAAGTGTATTTACTAAGTCCCACATTTCAGATATATATTCTTATTGTTTCTTCTCACTCAGTGTCACAAAAGTATTAGATTCCCGAATTCCCAACGACTGTTAAACACCCTCAATAAGTCTACCAGTGCCGTGGTTTTGTTTTAATAGAGTAAATGGCAAAATCTGTGAGTGTGAATAAACAACGGTCAACTTTTTTTCTTTTTTTTTGTTCTTCCCTATCTTGCCTTTTAGGCTATACAGGGTTTCCAATATACAATGATCAACCATCAAGTATTTAATTATCAAGATTGATATCAGATTTTTTCCAGATGTAAAAAATTCAAGAAGAATCCCAGATATCTCATGAATCGAACAGAGCCGAATTCCCCATGAAAATTCAATAATTTGTACTATTAAAATGGCGAATAGACTCACCAATTCCTTAATGAGGGCAACTTGATGCTGAGTGGTAGCCGTTGATTCTAACTCGCTCCCACTCCCGCTCACCTGTGATTTCACTCGTAACGACTCTTCCTTTTTAACTTTGGATCGGCTGGCTAACCTAGTGAGACCTCCTGTGACTTTTTGAATTTTCTACAATGAAATAAATAATAATATATTAAAAATTATTTTTTCATAGTTATGGCAAAAAATCTTCCAATTTCCTTCAAATTCCATTATTCACATTTATTATCTCTTACGTTTCAGGACAATTTTTCCATCATCAGAGCAATTCTTATATTCACTGAAACTTGCTTTTTTGATGTGGCACCATTTGTCAAAAATTTAAATATTTGTCACATTCATTATATATTTATTTGGTGTTACACATCCTTATTAAACATATTAAAGATAGCCAGATGTAGGTTAGTGTAACAATGAATAAGAAAGGATGTGTAACACCAAATAAATATATAATGAATGTGACAAATATTTAAATTTTTGACAAATGGTGCCACATCAAAAAAGCAAGTTTCAGTGAATATAAGGATTGCTCTGATGATGGGAAAATTGTCCCGAAACGTAAGAGATAATAAATGTGAATAAAGGGATTTGAAGGAAATTGGAAGCTTTTTTTCCATAACTATAAAGAAATATATAAATGTAGGCTTCCTAAAAAAATAAAAATAAGAAGATAATTAAAAATTATATAATATGCAAATATTTCATTGTTGAATAACAAGTGAACGTTATACAATATCTTTCTCACCGATTGTATCTGATTGTGGATTTCCCAAGGATTTTTATAGGATGCCTTTCGCTCTGAATCGACATAGTTCAGCCAAATTTTAGTCGCTGTTTCGTAAACTTGCTCCCTAATATCGGCTAAGTCAGGGCCTTTATTGTTGGTAGCAGGTAGAGTCATTTTGAAAACCTGAAAGTATGTATAGATTCTTTTAATAAATAACGAAGTTCCTATAGCAATAATTTGATGATTAAATTAAAATATTAAACATAATTTTAAATGACAATTTATAACCACAATACCTCTTCTATCAAAGGTTTTTTACAAATGTATAACTCATCCCAAACCCTACGAGCGGCTACTCCGATCAAATTCTGTCCTTGCCTCAGAGTAAGTTCATCGGTATCATCAGAATGGGGCGATACGTGCCAGGTTGTTTTAGTATTTGCATCCATTCTGAAATTAATAATAAATAATTTTCATTAATCAATATAATACATAACTAAACTATAAAAAAGTTATTAAATTGTAGTCATAATTCAGGTAAATTCAGAATCACACTGTTCTTCCTGATAACTTTGAAAGAATCTTTAAGTTAGATACATAGAAGTTCGATTTAGTAATAATAAACATGTAGCAGTTTCAAACGACACTAATCAATGAATAAGAATCATACAACTCAAAAGTTTTTTCATAGTTTTAATGTTGTTTTTTAATTTTTTTTTCTGAAGTATTGATTTAAGTATATCAAGAAACACAAACCTTTATATAAATGGTATATCGCTATAAATTTAGAAATACATAATACATATCTATATAAATAAAGATTTTGTCTGTACACTGAATAGAATCAACCTGTTTTATGATATCTTTTCCTTTCATACATTGCAGATACCAAATCCAGTTTTAAAAAATTTTTTGCCTGTCTGTATGTCCGCATTGCAATGAAATTTTTTCAGGGGTATGCTCAGCAATGGCTTATTGTAGACTTTTGAAATTTTAAAATTATATTAAGGTTTGCTTGACTTAAAACATAGGCTTTAAATGAAAACAAAATATTGAGTAGAAACAAAGTTATGAATTCTTGAGTAATTTGTTTAGAGATCTCGATTAGACAGTTACTTCGATTCTAATCCCAACCTACTCTCGACTCTACAATCTCCTCACTTCATCATAAATGAAAATTAAACACATAACAAATTTTAATGGATTGGTGGTGGTCGGTTTAGTTGTGTGGTACCTAAACAAATAGCAAAGTTTTTCTTATGACTATTGCGAAAACTTAACTTTCAAAAGCCCCACCATAAAAAAATTCAAAACAACCCCCTCCCTCCACCCGACCCAATTTTATGAAAATAAATTTGGACCTCTCCTCCCCCATAATATAAAATCCATCTCAAAAAAAGATTCTTATATTTTAACTATACACCCGTCAAGGATGGGTACATCAGCTAGTAGAATATATTTTAAACAATGAATCTTTTAATCAAATTTTATTAGACATTATTTTAGTGCTTTGGATTTCATAATTAATCCAATAATAATAATTTTAAGTCGAATATTTCCATAACTTTGAAAAAAGAGGAAATAAAGATTTATTTCAGAGGACTAGATCGTGTTTAATAATAATGCAAGACACATTGATGTATGAGATTAAAATGAAAACCAAATATATATGCTAAAAACTGATATAAATTAGACAAATTCAATTTACAAACTTACACATAATTATTATTATTACTTCCAATTTTGGCAGATTGACACTTTAAGAGGTTGTTTAAAAAAGGAGATGAAAGGATCGATAAAGACTAACCAAATAGGAAAAGAATATCTATAAATAATAAATAATTATATTTTGATAAATCAATAAAATAGATTATTGATGAAAAAAAAAAAAAAAAAAAACCATGTTTGTGTGTCATAACAGAATGCAGAAAAGTTTAAATACTTACATTATTTTCATTTCCGATGTTAGCTGTAAAAGGCAATATGTAAGGCAACCGATAAATTCTAGTTCATGATTTCCTGCTCCAAAAATTAATCCCCTGAAAATTAAAAAAATAAATAGTATATAGATAGTGTACAAATAGTCAAGCTAAATAAAGGATAAAACTAATAAAATAATATAAAACAATAACTATAATTCGACTGCGGTCAATTGGTTGTTCAAGAGCGAACTCATGGGGCACCAAGTTGAAATTAACATTTTGCTTTTTCCTTAACTGATTAATCAATTAGAAGATTGTATTAAGAATTGCAGTAGATGCCCTCTGGTTCATAAGAAACGCTCAACTACATCGAGAACTAAAATTGGAAACAATAGATGAATTCATCAAAAAACGATTTAAAAAATTCCATACGCAGCTACCAGCAGTTAAAGGTGCAGTGGCTTACAACTTAGGAAACCCAACCTCATCTCGAAGACTGAAGCCCAGACTGATCCAAGACATCATGTTATGAACAATTAATAATTTTCTCTTTATTAATTGTAATTATTCAATAATTATAATGTATAAATAGTTAGGGGTGTCTTTTGCAAAGACTATACCCCACCAGAACAAATTGTTAAAAATCATCAAATTGTTACAACAACCATGTAAGGTCCACCAGGCCGATCTGGTAATAAATAAATTTAAAAAAAATTAGAAGATTGCATAATTTTTCAATTTATGTATAGATTTTTAAACATTTTGAGAGTAATATCAGACGTAATATTGTCATATAATTTTTTGATTAATTCACTTTTTTTTTTTTTTTTTATTATCTTTTTGGCTTTAAGAATTGTAAAGCAAGTCCTATTTTGCCAATAAAATATTTTAATTGTCATTATAAGATGAAATTACACTGGATATTTATTGAATAGTTTTAGACATATGGTTATTGATTGTAAGATGAAATTAAACTGGATATTTATTGAATATTTCTAGATATATGATCACTGAATATAACTTATATAGAACTTGAACTAGAAAGACTAATAGTTAAAAACTGAGGTAACAGTAGTTTCATAACAATTTAATAAGAATAAGAGGCGACTTTTATTATAAACTGCTTTTATGTCATTCAAAAATGTTATCAAATCACAGGCGTTATCGTTATTCATCGACCGAAGAAAGTTAGCTCCATCATCCGTAGTTTGCGATCCTAAACTAATTCTTCTTCGCTTCTCGAATCTTTTGCACTTGAAGGCAATGTGTCTTGGATCCTCCAAGCATTGGCATCGTGGAAAGTGGCCACTCTTAGCTAGACCCGTTAGATGCAGATATTTATTAGTCCCACCATGATTTATCCTAAGCCTGGTCAGCTTTACTAAACTGGAGTGGTCGAGATGAAATTTAAGAGTCGCAAACCATGGAACCAGTGCTATCTTCTGTTGAACTGTATGATGGTCCTTACACTTCGAGACACATTCCTAGTCGTAGAAATGCTGCCAGTATTTCATTATTTTCCCTCTCACTACTCTTATAAAATACTCAATACTTTACAATCAAGACAGCTACACATTGACAAAAAAATATAGCTACTAACAAATGTTTACTATTTTTGTGATTACCATAAATATATAAAAAAAGTACAATTTTTAATGAATTAATAAACTATAATAGTTACCTGTTATTAGTGATTTTATGCAAAGCATCCAGAACGGGCATTTGATCGGGGATCGTATCCGTCCCACGGGACAAAAGATAAAGTATCGTCCTATTGAGGCAATGATATAGCGTTTCAGTACAAGTCGATACCTGCCTCCTTTTTGCTTGAGTTAACAATTTTACAATGAAATCGAATACTTCATGAGGATCTTTCACTAACATTCCTGAAAAAAAAAACATTACAAATATAAAATAATAAATTTTTCATCTCAGAAACAATGAGGTCAATAAATAAAAGAACAGACCTTGCCACATCTTGTCAACCGTCCGTGCAGCCAAATAAGATACATTTGGTGCGATATTGCTGATGTTTCCTCCTTGCACGATCGGTAAGGCTGCTTGATCTCCGATGAGGATGTCAGCTGCGACCAAGTGGTCCATTAGTGAGCTCAAGACTTCTGTCTGTATCCTTGACTGGTCGTTAATATTCCCAACATCACCGGAACACTAAAAGAAGATTTTAAAAACAGACATTTGAAAAATAATTTTTTTAAAAACAAATCATGGATATTAAACAGAAATTGAAAATATGCTGAGAATTACCTCTAGCACAATGTCGAGAGGAGGAGTGGTCTTAGCAGAAACTGGCAACGAAAGAGAATCGAAAATAATGAATCGTATCAAATCCATTACGAATTTATTAGCTGGGTGGTTATTTGGAGGTTCTTGGCCAACTCCGCTTGGCATATCTTTTGAATCCACATGAAAAACCTAAGAAAATAGTTTAAAGAACATGATACACATTAAAGAAAAAGTTTTTAAAATAAATGGATTGTATTTAGCTAAGATAATTGTTACAGCCTTAGGTCTTTCGAAATTGATGGTTGCTACGTTAATAAATTTAATTAAATAAAGTGTAAGTATATTTGAACCAAATAAAAATAAAATATTATTAAATATAAAGACAGAAATAAATAAATAATTAAATATAACTGAAAAGATTTAAGTTACTAGCTACCAAAAAAGACTTTTCCACTTTATAATTATATTGATGATTATAATATAAAAAACTTACTTCATCAGCTGGAGTTGGTGGTTCGCTGCAAGCAGGAAAAAGAGTGTTGGTCAAAGCGGTAAGGACATCTTGGCTCATGAATATTGGTATCAGGTGTTGGTTGCTGTGGTACACCAAAAACAGAAACTGGATAATGTTCACTGCATAATGGACCCGATCGGCCTCGACTTCACTTGAACTGCAAATACATCATTTATTAAAAAAATATAATCAAAACTTTAAATCTAATATGCATCATCATTATAAAATATATGTAAATATAAGGACATCCCATAAGTTTCTTCATTATTTTTTTTTTTTATGCTAAGAAAAAATATTTTAAAAGCAACTTTTTCATCAACAAAACGTACTTTGAAAGGCCTGTGAGACGACTGAAATTTATACCATAAATAGATAAGCCTGCACGTTTATAAACATAGCTGGTTCAAGCTCAGACAGCTTGGCACGGAAAAAAATTATGGGGCACCCTAATATATTGTAATAGTAAATTTCTAACTGTAATTTAAAGTAATAGTATTGGTGATTTTATATAAGTTTTAGTAATAAAGCCTATACTTATGATATAATATATAAGAGTATGGGAGTTGTGTTTGGTAATATATATAGTACTCGGTGTATAGTAATGCCCTTTATTGTTATGTTTGTTGTTTTGGGAGATCATAATTAACTAGGATGGTTACATTTTGAAGATAAAGCATAGAATTTTAAATTGGGAAAAGTAAAAAGTTAAGTTTGTTGTGAAACAAGTGTTGTGTAGATATTTGAAAATGAAATTTTTTAGACATAATAAAAAAAATGCCTGGCTGTAGCAATAAATTATTTATTCTGTTACATCAGTCATGGATTAACCTGGATTCAGGAGACACTCATGGGGCATACTCAGCCTCTATAAAATGAGAACTCTTAATTAATTAATAGGTAAAACCTGGCAATTGAATGTGATCTTGGCCTAATCACCTCAACGCACAACTGCTGGCCTTGAAACAATACTTCCTTACAAAGTACAGAACCCAAGATTCTCTGTGGATTGTAGCACTAGTTTTTTTTTAAATTAAGTATTAACTAACGTGTACAGACATTGGAAAAATAGTAAACCAATCCACTCTCTTTTTTATTTTTGTTTTGTATTAAAATATAATGTAGGAAGATGGTCCGGGGTGGCGGTCATAAATAAGCTAAATAGTGGCAAAACTATTTTATTAAAAGCCAATGTTTCGACCCAACAAGATACAAAAAGACAGATAATTGTGGAAGTTACATAATATTTAGACAAACAATGTTTTAAATTTTAATTTTATGCTTTCAGAGTGTTTCTTTTATATGCACATATGCTGTTTAAGTAGTTTTTTATTATTTCATCTATTTTTTGCCTATTTTTATTATTTCATTTATTTTGATATATATGTTGCAATGTTTTTGTAATGTTTTTTAATTATATATTTATAATGTTTTGGTGTATTTTAATATGTATGTTGTAAAATAAAAGTATTTTTTTATTATTACATTTGTTTCTGTTTTTGTCCACAATTTCAATAATACCAATACAATACAATAAATATGAATACGAAGATATAATAATATGAATATAATACAATAAAAATGAATACGAACAGCTTATCAGTATTAAGGTTATAAACATTGGCAGATAGCAGTCAGACACTACCCGCTACTAAATAAGTACCAAATAAAGTTTACTATAGTTCATATGACTTACGCTTTATTACGAGTGTTGAGGAGCACACGAACCATTGAGAGCATAACTGTCACAGCATCCGGGCATAGCGTGAACCTACCCATCACGCTCGACATCGACTGATTAGCAGGAACATTAAAAAGCAAGCTCCAAGCGTTCAATAAATCTAACTATTGAAAAAAAAACAGAAAAAATAATTAATTGCAAATAACTGAATTGAAGATGTTTAAACATTAGGAAATATATAAGAAGTACCTTAGACTCGGGAGGTAACAACTTGACCGGCTGGCCCATCATGAGCCCCATGAGGAGGAAATAGATCTGTGGGACGTCGACGTGGTGCTGGAGCAGCCAGGACAGCTGCTGGAATCCTGGAGGGCCGTTGTTCTCGCAGCGTGACTCCTTCTTCGGAATGGCGGCTCCCAGCTGGCAGCCCGCTGAGGCACAATATCACATTACAGTATCTTCATTCAGGTTATTGTTTCATAAGATTAGTTCCACCAAAATAATAAATAATGAATATAATATTAATAATAAAAAAAAATTAAAATCTGAAGACTGGGAACGGGTATTGCGCAAATCGACAGAGGATTTAAATTGAAGGAGCTCGGAGATGTATGAAGGACGACGGGAGTGAATTACTTGGAAGAGGAAGGATGCCAGGAAATACGGCGGTAGGAAGGATAAAGCCATTTCAACTCTTCATAGAAACAGAAAACAGGGACGTCTCTTTGGATCCCGAAGATGAATCGTACAAAGCAATTTATCTAACGTTTTAGTTCCAACTCGAGATCCCCAGAGACGCCCCCATATACCATGCAGCAAGAGTCGAAGTGGGGAAATATTAAGGAGGTGACCAGGAGTCTACGGATTTCAAAAGGAAAAAGGCTATTTAGGTGTTTTAGGGTGGAGAAGGTACGTCGGGAGATATTGGATACATGGTTTTTATAGGAAAGTGTTTGATCAAAGGTTCCAAGGTTTTTGATGGCGGGATAAAATTTAATGGAATTATCATGTAGGAACAGTTTTGAGGAGGTGATTGGAGCCTATTAGGATTGCCTTAGTGAAATAAAATAGTGAAAAACTACAAAATAGTGAACTATTCTATTTATATACAAAAAATATTCTATTTCAAGCCAACTCAGCAGTTCTTCTTCAGGAGTGTGTACAGGCAGCAGCAGCAGCTAGGAGTTTCGGTTGACACTCAATGCTTCAGTTTCAACAGAAACTTCAAGCTGCATACACACTCCTGAAGAAGACCTGCAAAGTTGGGTAGAAACGTTGGCTTGAAATAAAATAGTTTTTTCACTATTTTAGTCTTTTTATGACTGCCACCTCAGACCATCTCCTTCATCAGAAATGTTTAATGAGTTATCTACTACTAGATATTTTAAAGCTTATCCTTGAATCACTGATTTCTACCATTATCACTTAGTTTACATTTCTATTGCGATTTTAATTACTGTGAACTGGCTCTGCAAAAGGTTTTTTAATGCCTTTACGCTCTAAAGGAGACCCTACACGGTCATTCGGAATTGCATTCCGAGGCACTAATTATCGTGTAAGGTAGTGAATGAAGTACTGATGGTGGTGTGTGGCGAATTTCCGAATATCCAGAGGTTCATTCACAAGAAGTGGAGGGGGGACTGAGGTAAAAGTAGTGGAGAGACTAACCATACTACCGGATAGGTTAGTTTACTCAGGTCTCACAACCATTATCAATTTCTGATTTTCATTAAAAGTAAATAGTTAAATCATTTTTCATATCCCTTGTTTGGCAACAAATTAAAAAAAAAAAAAGTAGAAACTTCACAATTTACTTAAAGAAAAAATAAATCTTTAACTGTTGTGTATATTTGTCAGTTCTTTTCCCATTTTCCTCAACAAATTTATTATTTTCGCAATAGCTTTCCTTAATTTTTGTAAGTAGTAGACTTTATATTTTACTAACTTTTGTCAAAATGATTTTCTATGAGACTAACCTTACTGCTAGATAGGTTAGTTTACCTAGGTCTCATTTTTAAGTAAATAATTTCATAAAAGTAAATATTTGTTTATATCCCTAGTTTATATTTTTACTAACCATTTTCAACTATTTTTTATTTAAATAGTCAAGTAAGCAATAAATTGAAAAAAAAAAAAAGTAGAAACTTTACAATTTACTTATAGAAAAAATACTTTAACTGTTGTGTTTATTTGTCATTAATTTCTCCATTTTTCTTAACAAATTGATTATTTTTGCAATACTTTTCCTAAATTTTTGTAAGTAGTTGGCTTATATTTTTCTAACTTTGGTCTAAACGATTTTCAGGCACTAGGAAGTAATTATTATATCTCCATTTTTCTCTTTATGTCCAATACTATAAAGAACAATTTCCAAATAAGCTTATCTATGCTATTTCTTTGTTTACAACTGAGCTAAATTGGCTTCAGCAATGAGATCAGTAATGATTGAACGTGTAGGGGTCTTCATGATCAAAGCGATCCCGAGCAATCTTTGCCATTCTTGTGACGTTCATTCATGAATTAACGTGTAGGGTCCCCTTAATATTCTTGGCTATATCATCCTCCATGTCTTGTGAACATTTAGTGCTTTAGAAATTTATGTTGCATATATTACCTAATACAACACCCATTCTATTCTGAACAACGAGCTCTGTATCCTGAAGCCAGCCTCCGGTAGAAGAGCCCTCTTTAAACTTTGAGAGGAGGCTAGATATAGAACACAGGACAACTAGAATCCGCAGACCCCATACGACAGTAGTCGGATGTAACTGTTGTTGGAGAAACAGCAGGGGCCAATCGAGGCCAAGCACATGAGCGATATCCTCACAAAAACTGTAACATTATAAAACATTTTCAAATTAATTGATAAAACTAATAAATTAAAAATATTGAGTCAAGAAATTGTAACCTGTTATTGACGGTGTTTCGAGGAGTGAAAAGAAGACTATGAAACAGTTGGAGACATCTATTTCTCAATAAAATTGCGTTCATGGACTCCTCTGAATCAGCTAATTCTTCGAATGTTAACTGTCCATCATTCTTAACAGGCATGACTTCTTGAAGAGAAATCTGCCTTTCGAGAGCACCAGGAGAGCACGGGAGGGTGGATATTATGAACTGTCCAAAGCTGCAAAAAATATTAATAAATAAAATAACATTAATAATTATTTAAGAAATATGTATAATTAAATAACAGGATTCAGGCTAATGCTTATGAAATGAAATAAAATTAAAACATAATTTTACTCTGGGACTACATTCTTCTAAGAATAATAACAGAATTACATAATTATGGGTCTTAGCCTGGCTTAGAAAAATACAAACTGATGCCTAATTAACTGTTGATTGATATCGTGCTTGTGCAGTTGATTGAATTATACAATGTATAGACACAAGTAAATTTTGCATGTTTATGGAATTTTAAATATTGAGTAAGTGGTGGAACAGAAAGTTTTTTTTTTTTTTTTAATTTTAATCCATAAGAAACAGAAATTAGACTGCATAAATATGTATAATTCATTAATCATGTAAATCTTCATTTTCACTAATCAAAATGCATAAACCTGAAGGATGGATCTATTATTAAACATACATACCAGTACTTCATTCTCATGCCTAAAACAGATATACATAATTTCCTTCTGCGAACCCAAAACATTGTGCACTTATTGTACCTATTTTTAACATATAATATGGTTCATGTTATCTTGGTGCACTTAATGAGTTTTTTTGCATCAATAAATATGATCGAAATTCACAAATATGCACTCAAAACTTTGGGTTCATCCACTTATATTTTGGGATTTACTGTGGGATATAGAATTAAACCTAATTACCATATTTTAAAACTATCAATAAATAAATTCAGTGGTCCTTAGGCTGTCACATTTTGGCTATTAAGATAACATTTGCAATTAAATCCAAAAATATTTGTAGAAATTAAATTATTTCTTTTTATCCTCTAAGTTGGCATGATTGGGATCTTAATCTAAAAAGTTATGCCATTTAAGAAGATAAGAAGAATATTTATTTTAAAAACAAAACAAACTTGATAGAACTTTTAGGAGTGAAACTGAATTGTATTAATTCAAAAATTATTTTAGTATTTGTGATTTCTACCACCTGATATCATTAAAACAATTAGCTTTTACTATTATAATGTAATATCTTACGAAACATTAACTATATTATGCACACATACAAACTTACCAAAGAATATCGTTGGGATGAGGCTGTGCCAACAGCAACGCACCCAGAAGAGTGAGGATGAGATCTCTTGTCGTTCCGCTCTTGACAGTCGGCAGGATGTACAGTAATCGTTGCACCAGCCTCATTTGCCTGATCAAGCTAATATTGACTCTCTTTTCACTTGAATCAGCAACTAGTTCATATAAATGCTCGAACAAACTCCTCTGGATATCACCTGGAGCTTCATGCCAAACCTATTAGAACACATGTCATTAATCAAAAAATTTTAAAAGTCAACGATTTTTAGAATTATTTAAAGCGTTATATGAGAGGAGGTTCTTCATCTATTTGGGTTCAGAAATCAGCTATCAGCTAACACTACCCAGAGAGTAAACAGAAGATTGCAGCAGCTAGCCGTAGCTACTATGGCCTTGCTAAACATTTTAGAAGCAGAATGCTCTCTAACCGGACCAAGATCAAACTCTATAAGAACCTGGTCCGCCCAGTCGTCACTTATCGCTCAAGGGCTTGGGCATTCACGAAGGCGGATGAGTCCAGGCTTCTAATCTTCGAGAGGAGCATTCTTACAATGGATTTTTGGCCTTGTCAGACAGGACGACGTAGAAGAAGGATGAATGCCAAACTAATGACACTCTACAATGATGTTGACATAGTAAGGTTCATGAAGCTTGGATGACTTTGATATGCAAAGGATGGCTGCCAACGAGATTCTGAAAATGATCCTTACCAAACAGTTTTATAGAGTTGGATGACCGAACGTAAGATGGATGGACTCGGTCTCTGAGGGTGTGCTGGCCCTTTTTGGAGTCCGAAACTGGAGAGCTGCAGCAAACGACCAAACAAACTTGTGGAGGAGGCTCAGTCTCAGCAACGGGATGTTGCAACACTTATTTATGTATGTATGTATGTGAGAGGATTAGAATGAAAGTAGAGTAATTTGCTTTTTTTAAAGAAAACAAATGTCTAAAAAAAGTATTGTAATGATATAACCATATTAAACATATATTATTTGACATAGTATGTCATACAAATATTATTACATTATATTAACATAACATTCAGTTTCTGGACAATCTGTAAAATTGACTTATACCACTATCATTCTAATCCATTCATATATGAATTAGTAAATAACTTATTAGTCAATTTATAAATATATCTTACTTATAAAATAAATAAACAACAATTATATTCACTGTTGTAGTAAAACAAATGAAAAGGCTCGAACTCCTTGATTTTATAAGTTTGCTGTCAGTATAATATTGCATGTTATAATGTTTTTATTTGATAACTATTTATAATATTTTGCTCTGTTTGTCCATAGTAAATTTTTTATAACTTTTTCATTTTAATTTTGCCAATTTTAGAGGAACAAAAGCTAGTTTAGAAGAACATTACATCCACTAAGCTAATCAATAATTAATAATTGTGTGAAAAAAAAAAGTTCCGGAAGAATATTGAACAACAAACCTCTATATCACATAAAAGGTCTTGGAAGGCCATAACATTCGGAATAGTTGAGCTTTCTCGCCCCGAATCTACAGTCCCAACGAGACTGAAAATCAGGTGAAGTATATGTGAGTTGAGAATATGCTTTTTCCGTCGTAAGAGCATAGCTAGCGTCTGATATGCCCGCCTTCGATCCATCTCAGACTGTGCCACTCTGTCACTTTTAACAACACACACGAGAGCCTTAACACCAGCATAAAGGCTCTCAACGTCTTGGGCCATAGAAATAAGACCTAAAATAAAATAAAAAATTGCCAAAAATTATAAAGCAATAATTACTATCATAAAATGTTTAAACTATCTATCATTCAGGATTTTAATAAAAATCACATTTGATAAGAAAAGTGTCATGGTTACTATGAACTAGTGTATGTTGCACCTTTCCTTTACTTTTAATGTGGACAGGAATGAAACCTGAATACTCTCCTATTAGGATCTAGAAGGTTCTAAAGATAGAAAATTAGCACTTTATAATTTCCCAATTTACTATAAAAATATTGAGTTTTAGGAGCTTCAGAGAAATTAAACTTCTAATTATTGTTCAAATTATAACAGTATTTAAATTTTTTTCCCCCTTATTCAGGTTTTAGTCACAACATTTTAATCCCTTCAGTATTTCAGTTTTTAAACTAAATTATTGTTTGAAACCTAGAGCTTAAAATATAAATACATAGATAAAAATTCAACTAAAACCAAGAAATTTATTAAGTTGACAAAGAGTGCTATCAATGGATAGTTTCTCAACATGTGTTTCATGTCATTATATTCATGTACGAATTTACTACATGTATTTTTTTTTATACAGTTGTAAATATCATGCAAATAATAATAATAAAAACGTTGACAAAGATGGACTGTACATAAATAAGTATATAACTATGATAGTTCCATCCACTCTTTGTAACCAATTTATAGAAAAAGAAATATCCAGAAATATTTACTTCAAATTGTTATCTCGATAATGTAATACTATGATTTCCAATCTTAAAAACTATAATTTTCATTCAGTTTTACATTTTTTATAAGTTAATATCCAATTTTCGTTAAATCCATGAAAAAAAAGTAAAATAAAATATATATAAAATATAATACATTATATATATATATATATAAAAATATAAATCAATCCTAAAAACTATAATTTTCATTCAGTTTTACATTTTTTATAAGTTAATATCCAATTTTCGTTAAAACCATAAAATAAAATAAAAAATATTAAAAATAAATAATATTAATATAAAGATAATAATATATATTAAGGATTTTCTATATTGTTAGTACAATGTCAAAGTTCCATATCTGAAAATGTGTAGAACTGCAAAAATTGGTTTTGGAATCAGTTTTACGGATGTAAGGTGGCTAATATCTTGGTAAAATAGTTCTTATGTTGTTTAATACAGTTTTCCTCATTTCAAACTAAAAACAAAAAAGAGCAAAATACTTCTACAAATGACCGATGATATAGAATCATTGATCTAACTAAAAATACATCAATTAAATCTTGATAGTAAATTGTTTATCAAAAAATATAATCTGCAATATTACCAAGAAGAACCGAGCAGCCTCCAACAGTATCTATCATTTTTGAAACAGGCCTGGGAGTAAAAACCCTTACACCAAGGTATCCAACGACAACTCCTCCGAGCGAACGAGCAGCGCCGCTCAAATGGCCGACTGAATTGTGTAGGATTCTGATAGGAGTTGCGTTTTCATGAGATGACATTCCTAACTGAAATGGAATAAATAAATATAACGCAGATAATTGAGAATAATTTACCTGGCAATAAAATATAATTTAATTCCAACAACAATCACCTGCTTAGCAATAGATTTGTTATCAGCCCTGCTATACAATTTTCTGATTTTGGCTAAAGTTAAATGCGAAGCAGCTTTGGCATTCAGGCCAAACACGATTTTGTCTTCAGTTACTAATGGAGCCATCGGTTCACTTCCTAAACATAAAAAATATACATATAATATAAATAAACACCAATATTAAATAGCCTTAATTAAAAATATACACATAAATAAGCATAAAAATTAAATGGTCTTAATAAAATTTATAATAAAACCATAACCATGAAATTTATATCAACAAAGTAATTATATATAAGTGATTTATCAATATTTTTTGGAGTAAATCACTCTCTCCCTTACTCTGTTGATCAAATATAATAATGTATCGCTATTAAATAATACATAGTAATATTATAATAAAAAGACAAAATGGTTTCATCAATATATACAAAATGTTATTATTTTTAATGGTGAAGAAATGGTTAGGGATGACCACAATAAAAACTTTTACTAAAATGCTATGATTTTTGTTTATAATTAATATTGTCTTAAAAGGAAATCAACAATATTTTTGATGGCAATAAAAAAAAATTAATCGATATATTAAAATTGATTTGTTAAATTTGTGGAAATTATACTTCCAAAGATATTTGTATGTAAGTATATTTTTTTTTATTTTTCATTTTAATAATTAAACAAATCACTTATTCATTAACATAATTTTTATATACAAAATTAATAAAATAAACTAGTTGGCCCATGAGAATAATTCGCAAAGAAATTGTTCAGTGAAAAAATGATAAAATAATAAGAAAGATGGACTCATCACCTATGTTTTCCATAATTGCAATTGACCAAGGAAAAGAAAATTATAATAAATCTTTAAAAGTATACATTTTAAATCAAAATGTTTATGAATTAGAGTAATCTAGATCTCAGCTAATAATTGTCCGAATTTGATGATATTTTTTTCTGTTTTGTAAGGGATTTAGCAATCTTTCAAATCAACAATAAAATGTATACTTTTTATATTTAGTTATCCACATAAAGTTTAGTGTCTTTAATAATTTTTTTCTTGAAATTTTAGGGGGACTTTACAACTTTTCCCACCTGAAGAACTTAACGAGAGCTTGGTCATTGGATTTGATCAGGAATTGACAAAGATTTCTCATGTTTCCCACTGGTACACTGAGTTGAAGTGGCTTTATCCTACTTCCCGAAGACAATTCCTTCTTGGTGTTTTCCTTTTACAGGTCCTAAGAACCAAAAATCCTCCCTATGTCATGGAACTCCTCACTGTACGTTCCTCTATCCACTCTATTATTACCAGATCTCAACCTATTGATTAATATATTCTTTCTCATAAAACTACATCCTTCGTTATTAGTGTTATCTCCGTCTGGAATTCTTAACCCACCCCCATAGGGCAATCCTCAACCTTAAATTTCTTCAAACAACTCTTATTCCACCACCTACTTCATTTTCAAACTTCTGTACCTATGAAATAGTTATTGGATTCTGTAATTACAACTGTTCACTAACAATTAATTGACAGGTTTCATTTGATTTTATCTCATTTATTTATTTACTTTTTCTTTGTATAGATGTAAATCATATAAAACATACTGAAGTTATTCAGGTATGATTGCGATAACAATTGATATTTTAACATTCAAATGACCTCTTTGTATTCTGTCAAACCAGACTAATGGACCAATGTTTTGTACCATATTATTATTATTCTTAGGGGACTTTAGTCCCAGAATAAAATTATTTTTTCATTCATTCATTTCATTAAAAAAAAAAAAAAAAAAAGACCAAAAAATAACTTTAAGGAATAATATATAAAGTCATTAAAAAAAGGTGAATTATATAAACAGGAAGGTTCCATACAAATTAAAGTCTATTAAAAAGTAATTCATAGTTATTTTATTTTTCATTTCTGAGCCAAGTCATAGCTAATTATATGTAAATAGGTACTGTAGTATTTTTTCAATACTAGGTAAATATTAATAAATTGGCTAATGAAAATAAGATTTAATCTGTTCCAATAATTGGTCACAAGCCTTATTAATTAATATAATAAGGTTCTCGGTGAAAGTTGTCTTAACTACAAGAGGATATAAAAGTCTTTGTTTTATTTTTTTTTTCATTAGCTTTCACTCTGAGGGCTAAATGTGTCATCGGGGCAGACCCACTAAAATCTAGGTGTTCTACTTAACCACACAATTGATTCCCATGTCATTATCTCTTACTAATACTATACACTTATTTAACTTCTTTATTGATCTATGATTTCATTATTTAATATATATAGTAGGGATTACAACTATTATCTATTAATTTAATATTTTCAAAACTTTATTCTACATGTTTTGTATAATTAAAAGAACAAAAAAATACTGTTTATGGTACTTTGAGATAATACTTTTTATGATTAAATACATTTTTTATTATTTTTAATCAATGTATGATTAATTTTATATTAAAAAAAATTCTTCTAATCCCACACATTTTTATTTCATAAAATTTAACATCTTTTAAATGAGAATTGTTATTTAAACGTTTCAGCATGAAAAAGCCATTTTAAAAAAAATCATTATTTAGCTAAAAATATAAAATTTGTAGATGTTTTTTGTTCTTTCCAACATCCACAAATAGCCTCTTTTCCTCCTAATTATATACACACAAAAAAAAAAAAAAAAAAAATACACTGTTACTTTTCGCCCAAAATTTTATATTCTCATTAACCTGTAGTCTAAATTGTTTCACTACATTTTTTATTAAATTTAGTAACAATAAATAATTTGTTACATATATAAAATCTTTGTGTTATAATAAATTAATATGATTTTTTCCTAAAAGTTAAAATGTTTATTCTAATTGAATATTGTCGACTAACTTTATAAACATTTTCTTTTTTATAATGGTTATTATTTTTTATTTACAGACTTAATAATTTTGGAGTAGTTATATCTCATATTATATTAACTTTAATAAACACAATTAACCTATAAATAGAGTGCAAATGTTTTAGTTCTTTATTATTACCAATAGATGGGGTTAACCAATAGTTCCAATTAATTCCAATAGATGGCGGCGATAATATTGTTTTTAATTAGATTATGTTAAGTAAGGTCATTTAATGAAAGTCATTAATTTTCTACAACTTAAATAATGAGAATCTTTTTATTTTTGAAAAGCTTTTGCTGTTTCTACGAAAGGTAAATCAAATTTAAAATATTTTTTTTTTGCAATTATAAAAAAATTTAAATATTATAAATTATAATTGTACATTGAGAATAAAAGCTGATTCATAATCCTTTATGATTAATTGATTAGTAGCTCTAAATTTTAATCAGAACTACAAAAGAAACAATGTTAAATATAATTAAAGTCAATTACTATAACTTTACTCGTTAATGATAATTATTTCATTAAACAATTAAAAATAATTATATTTTTCAGTTAAAAATAGTGACATCAAATATATGCATTTACCAGATAATTAGTCAAAAACAATTTCATATTTCTACAAGATCAATAGTAAACTTAACTCAAAATAGAAAAATAAAATTCATGTGTTTCGGATTAAAGATCAATAAATTTTAGAATATAATTAGATTATTTAAAATAAGTTTATGAAAAATTATCTATGTTATAAGATGAATAGTGTCGATTTTGTTTAAAAAGAATTATATCAGTTTTGGAGCTGGTAATATTATTATTATTTGAAACTTAAAAGAATAAGTAAAATGGGCAACTCAATAAAAGTAATTTTTTGTCTGCACATCCTGATCATTTTTCATCCATAAAAAAAATAAGATTTTTTTTTTAAATATAAATTCAATATGGTTGTTTAAACACCCATTTTTGATTTACACAAATACACAATTACGTGTTTAAATCAACACTCTTTCTCAGATCTAGACAGCACAATTTTGATTTTACATAGTTTTCGAATGGTTAATACAAGTGAAAAATCAATTCATTCATCAATCCGAAAAATAAATTTATTCTCCTAACCCATATTTTTTATTCTCAACTTTAATTAGCTTCTGTACATGTAGTTCATTAAATTAACATATAATGAATGAATAAGTAATATATAATATATAATGATCTCTAATATGTAGTAGTCTGATTACAATATATATCATTTTAATTATGCAATAGTTTTGGTTAATTCTTTATTTATCTTTTTTTTTATTATTAATAAACTGATTTGGTTCGATAGTGTTTATTTGTCAGACCCTAATTAACATGACACATGGTAGAAAATTGTAAGAATAGATAAAACCCTTGAAAGAGGTATGGACAAGACTTTAAAGGGAGAAAATGGACTCGGACAGAAAATTTGTCAGAATTTTCTCCTCTTGAACAACAGTAATTGTTAGAATATTATTCCATACAATAATGGAAATTATGATTAACTTTACATACATAAAATTAAATTAAGGATAAATGGGTGGAGTAAAACATTTAATATGATTAAATAAATTTAATATAAAACAGACCTATAATACACAATTATTATCGCATATATTATAAAAAGATTACTGTTTATATTAGCGTAAACTTTTCTTAATATTTTTATCATACACCCATTATTAGATTGATCTGTGACTTTTACTTGAGCAAATAACCTTATCATTTTAAATTAAATTAAAAAATAAAATAAAGTAAATTTGATATTTAATTTTTAAAAATTTTAATTTAATTATTCTCTTTATATTCTATAGTTTGATATAATCAAATCAGCAATCCCCTCTCTCATTAACTTAGAAAAATTAAAAATAATATCATAAATAGGATATTTCTCATGGCATGCTTTAAAATTTTTGTTACATAAAAATTTGATATTGAAGTAAAAGTCTAGTATAGTAGAAAATAATATGTTTTTATAATTAAATATTGAAAGAAACAAATAAAAAGGAAATCAAACAATCTGTAAGACAATGAAAGATAAATTAATCTGAAGCAATCCATTCTCCAACCCCCCACCACAGCAATAGAAAGGAAAGGTACATACATCCCTTAGGTTTTCTCCAAGCTTTGTCACTCATAGCATCAACAAGCACCTCTAAGATGTATACTACGCTTATCAGGTATCATATTATTAATAATATCATTTGAAAAATAATAAATATTATTA